AATAATCATTTCCTTTTGTTTTCCTTTTAAAATAATGATCCTTCCCTTTAATTTTTCTTTTAAACATAATACTTTCCATTACTTTCCTTTCATTTTCCTGTGAAAAAATCCATGTCCTTTCATTTCCTTTTAAAACAATGATCCTTCCCTTTCATTTTCCTTTTAAAGATTATAATGTCCTTTCATTTTCCTGTTTAATATCATCATTTCCTTTCATTTTCCTTTTCAAAAAAAAGAAAAACTTCATTTTCCTTTTAAACAATGATCATTTCTATCCGTTTTCCTTTAGCTTCCTCCTGTGTGCCATCTTAGTGCACCTTTTGGGAAATAATCATTTCCTTTTGTTTTCCTTTTAGAGTAATGATCCTTCCCTGTCATTTTTCTTTTAAACATAATAAGTTCCTTTCATTTTCCTTTTAAACAATTATAGTGTCCTTTCATTTTCCCTTTAAACATGCTCATGTCCTGTCATGTTCCTTTTACACATGATTATTTCCTTTCATGTTCCTTTTTAAAATGATCATTTCCTTTCATTGTCCTTTTACAAATGTTCATGTCCTTTCATTTTCCTTTTAAAAATGATTATTTCCTTTCATTGTCCTTTTACAAACTATCATGTCCTTTCATTTTCCTTTTAAAAGTGATTATTTTCTTTCATATGCCTTTTAAAAATGATCATTTCCTAACAATCTATGTACGCTAACATAAGAGCTACATGTTCATGTCAGTGTGCCATGTTAGTGTATGAAAAACTATACTGGCCATGTGCCATGTGCCATCTAAGGGTTCCAAATGCTTTCGACGCCTTTGCAGGGGGGGTTTCTCACTAACATGGCATTTATTGCGAGATTCATTTGTGCCATCTATCCGGGACCCGGTATACGGCCTCTTCTAAAATCTTCTCGATTAAAAATGAGCAACTTCACCTTTATGGCATGACATGTCTAACTCCATTCAAGAAAACTCTTCCATCAGGTCCAGTGGACTGGCGGAACCTTGACCGGCGGATGACCATGGACCGGAGGGGGACAATCAGGTGGTCCCTGTGGCGGTCAATGTGGCCATGTCCCTTCGCTCACCTCGTCGCTGTCAGCGGTGATGGTGTAGCCCATGGGGGCCCCATACAGCCTCAAAGCTCAAAAGCCAGGGAACTAATCACTCAAAAGAAGTTGCTGTAAATCATGGGGCCCAAGCGGCCTAGATGGAGTAAATCCTCTTTGAATCTCCAAAGCGATCAAAGTGGAATGCTTTTTGGAGACGTGTTTATGAGGTTTCAATTCCAAGGCCTGTGGTCACAATAGTTTGGTGATAACATGTTTAGGACATGATTGGCATCTGAACACCACCCACCATCTCATCGCAGGATTTGCTTCAAAAAAAATCTGAAAGACTTGGATTCACCACCAGTTTACACACAATTGATATCCTTTCTCCGAGCCCGTCAAAACGAGTGACGCTGGAGAGTGACCTTGCCGTCAGAATGTGAATGCAATCTCCCTAAAGCTAGAGCATGCTATAGCCATTCGGCCATTAGATGCCATTGGCTATAGCTCGTTCAGAAGGGGGCCGGATGGTCTAAAAGCTGGCTGTGCAATCAGTCGCCCAGGGCGGAACTTCTGCGTCTAAACACGCGTTTCTGGGCCAGGCACATGCTACCAATGCACAGTACACATCTGGTGCTCGGCGGATCTGCCGAGATTGTCCACCACTTCAACCACATCTGCCCTGCGGCCCTGCTTATCCTCTATACAATGGACCGAGTTTACAGATTAGCATGTATGCCCTACAGTACAAGATCGAGTATCTGGCTACCTGTTTGGATTTGATCGTACAGGACTTGCTACTTAATGTACTCAAACTCATAAATCCCAAACGAGCAAGAGATGTACGCATGTCCTCCAAGCAGAACCAGCTGGGGCCTCTCGCAAGCCGCGCATCCCAAAGAACTGTCCGGGACCAAGTCGCATCTCCTGGTCCCAATCAGTTGCATCGCAAAACTTGGACGAACAAACACCTGCCGACAACTGCCGACAAGATGAAGATCAACAGCCTCTGGCGCCCGTCGCAATCTGTCCGTCGAACCCACTTCGCCCTAGTGGGAACCAACCCACCTATGGTTGAAAACCACCGTTGAGGCTGGAACGGTAAACACGCTGTGGGCGGCCAGGCCACCCCAGATCACCCACCGTTCGGGATGTCAACCCACCAGGTTTCCGTGGCTCCAGGTGCCATGACCGTTCGGCACCGTTCGGCACCGTTCCTCACTCCAGCAACGGCCAGCAACCGGCCAGCTCACCGGACCAGGAAGGGTGAGGTTTTCCCGGTTTTTGGACTGGGACATCCTCTTCATAGGGTCTACCTTATTCATCAAGAGTCTACCTTATATATTTGCTGCCAATGAATTGCAAGCACAACTGCAGATTCATTTGCTCTGGTAGCAAGACTTGGGAGGAATGCACCAGCGTTCTTGGAGGAATGCGTGCCCCAACAAGCTTAATATTCGGGTTCTCGGAGTATCACGTCAATATTGTGTGACAATCTATATATTCTTAATAAATGATCTCATGTCTACTTCCCAATGTCAATTCGAACAAATGAGCGGTAGAACTTCCAAATACCCAAACACGCACATGCTGCTCACAACTGGCCTGTGGCGCAGACTTGCTCCTGCAGAAAATCAGAATGCAAGTGATCCCAAACGGGTCCATATCTTATTGCTGTAGTAGCTACAGTTCAGGTCGGATTGTTCCAAGCTAGGATGATTCTGGTCAGGCTTCTGCTCACCTCTTCCTAGAACTTGTGTTCTTGTGAATTTGCCGATCCTTGCCTTTCTAAGTCTTGTGTGCTTGCACAGAACATTCTCATGTGTTCCTGTACATAAAGGTGTACAAACAAGTCGCAAGTCCTGCTGAACATTGCTGAGCCAACTGAAGGTGAAACATGTGAGGTCGGTCCAAACCTCCCTACATCTGGGAGCGGTCATTAGGACAGGGCATCGGGCTTGGGTTTTCCTCATCGGTTTCCAATGTTTGGTGAATTCACTAACATACCGTATGTTTCCAAACAAAAGTATAGTCATGGACATGGCGAAGCAACGGACAGCAGAGCAGACAACTTTTTCACAAGTTCAAGTACCTCACATATGCAGCTGCTAGTTCCTTTCTCTTGATCATGTCATTTAAACCCTAAAATCTGCTCTCGAGTGGGCATGTCCCTTGATCGGGTGTCTGGAAGTCACTCCGCGGCATCTATTAGGGCATCGGTCTATACACGCTGGTGAAAAACATATAATTTGCCAGTAGTAGTAGGAGGAGGGGTAGTAGTACTAGTAGTAGTAGCAGTTTATATGCGTAAGATTACGTAAGTACGTATGATTACGTATGTATGATACAAAGGCATCGGTCTTGGGCTTTCCTCATCGGTTTTCACTGTATGCTCAATGTAAGACCTACCGACATAAAGCTCTTGGTTCCGACATTTTCGGACGGATCTCATGTCCTATAGTTTGCTTCTCGGGAACAAGCTGACATGTATGTCTTTGTTCCACTCTCACCATGAATGCTAGACTTGCCTGGTGTGCCAAACACTGCTCCCTTCGACAATGAAGGCACACACGCATTTCTTCTCACAATACGATCAATAATGTTGAAAGGTGACCCTCTGAAGACCACGAACTCGGGTGCAAAAAAGTCAGGGCCAACTTTGCATGCGGCGCGTCGTGTGCAAACATGTGGGATTGGTTGGGCAAATCAAAGGCTCAGAACCAAGTGGAAGTAAAGCAAAGGACGCTACAAACAGGGTTCCCTGGCCTTACTACTAGGAGCAAGAGGACGCTACTAGGAACCCGGGCATCGCTACGAACGGAGCGATCGGACGCGATCGTGGGTCTGGTGCACCCCCCAACCCCCTCCACTCGCGTTCACGAAGGCCGCCCCTCCAAGCCCTTCCACTCAGTGGGGTGCCCGAGGGAGTAACTGGGACCAGGGTTACATCGAAAATATGGAACTGAAATGCATGCGAGCAGCACCCAACACAAAGTGGGTCCTTCTTGAGTCCGTTTCTGTCTGTGGCCCTCCAATCTCTGAGACAACTCAGATCTTGTGGTAATCCCTTCTGTCCCCCGATTCAAAACGGTGGACCTGTCCCCCACGATCTTCTCTTCCAAAGGATCTTTTGTCCAAAACAAACACGAACAAATGGACCAGCATGACCAGGATCGCCGGCCTTCAGTGTCAATTTTGCAGCCATCAGTCATTCATGAGGGTGCACTCCAGCCACTGGAGTCAACCCATCTACCCATTTCGACCTGTCCTCGAAGGGGTCAAAAGGATATTGCCCTGCTCGATGATGTACATGCGAGACCTCGGCGCGAGCTAAGCATCGCAACGAGTGAAGCGAGCTATAAGCAGCCGGCCGGGGCTTGGGGAGGCCTGCAACACCGGCTACACCATGACGACAATGCCTAAACGTCCCAAACAAATCCAAACAATGGCTTATCTAATGCTATCTGCATTGTCCGATTGTTGAAACCAGGGTAAGCGAGACAATTGTTGAATCCCAAAACAGTCCAACACGACCAGCCGTATGAAATAAGTTTAGAAGATGAGGACTTCCTCCAACTTTTGGAGTCTGTGAGTGTCAAGAATGCAACTCAAACATGAGTCAACAAAGCAATGAGGATGATCAAATATGACCAAATAGCAAAGCAAATCTGGACTCTAGACTCGTGCTCATGGAAAAAGAAAACATATCATCATGGGGTTGGCGTACTTTCGAACAAAGAGGACACCACACTCGCCCACTCAGCTGCTCCATCCTGCTCCATGTCCCTGAAATGAATGCTCCATCGACCCGTGTTTCCGCGTTTCGGCGAGGGGCGTGATGTGGTTTTGACCTGCTACCACAGCCCCACGGTACCACCTCGTGAGATGGGAGGGCAGGGGGTTCACCGCAAATGGTCCGGGTTGATCGGGTTGGACGGGTTGCGGCAGTCTAGCAGGGGTGACCCAAACGAAGAGGTTCCCTTCATTCTGAAACATACACATGCAGAAAGATTTGGATAGGGAGGACTGGAGGAGTTGATTTATGGCATAAATCTTGCATTACCATAAGAGATGGACCATCCAAGAGGTGATTTATGGACCACTCTTGCTTGGACCATCTTGACTGGAGGAGTTGATTTCCGGGGTGCCTCCAAGATGGTCCAAGAAGAGTACTACACGCAGTGTAGGCACCCGAACGAAGCACCCAGCTCTTGGATGTTGGTGTACTCTGGGGTTGAACTCGACGGCGTAAGTGAAGGCTGATCTCAAATGGAAAAAGGACAAAGGAACACATTAAAAGAAAAACAACTAAAATTATTGGATATATCATATGATATAACGAACTATTCCTTAGATAAGTTGTTCCTTTGCCCTTCCCCATCCATGGAACGCGTGTTGCTAGGCTACTAGCGGAACTATTGCTTAATAGCGGGGCCCGCAGCTGAACATCACTGGCTCGAGTTTGGAGAGTTGAATGGATCTCAAACGATCTGCGAATTGCTCTGCCCTCGCATCAGATCCTTCGGAGGAATCCAAATTAACATCACTTGACTCTCCTGGGAAGCCGCTGAAGCGCGCCTCTGGCTCTTCAACGCAAGTGCAACTTTGGCCTGGGGAAGTGAAAAAAAGGGGCCACCCTACGCTGGCAAGGAAATACGTTGAACGAAGCAAATACCGGAAGACGATGTTTCTAGGCCTTGCACTCTGGAAAAACTGATCCAAAGGGTTTTCGGCATTCGCAAGACTGGCAAAATCACGGGCGGCCCCTGGCTCGCTGTTTGAACATTCACCATCCATCTTTGGCATGCTTTTCCCCTCATAGATTAAGCACCCCTCAACAAAAACCTCTGCAACACTTTTGCAAAGGAGCGATGGATTCACAGGGTGTGTTAAAATCGATCAAGAAGGATCGGCGACTTGAAAGCTTGGCTGATCAAGTGATGGTGACTGTGTACTGGACTTGTGCCACAGTCCTCTTACACAGCCAATTACAGCAATACATCCCTTGACAATTGAATAGGTGTTGGTTCGATCAGAATCGGGGCGATCGGAATCCATTCGGTTTGGATCGTTGGGGTCGGAAGTCGGAATCGTCGCAATATACCCGGGCGTTGGTTGTGTTCTCAACCTTTGTAGTTGGCACTGCAGGAAACCCAAACAAGTGTTTGACCATGGTGTTGTTTTCAAGCGTACAGCAGGGCGCATGGAAAGTGGATGACACTGGATGATGGGTCTGCAAGATCCTGCAAGTCAGACCCATCTGCTTTGGGCCCCCGCTTTCCTTTCAGCGTTCAAGTCAGCCAGCAGAGGTACACTGCCGAAGACCTGTCGATGTCCGGCATTTGGCTGTCGACGATGGTCGACTGTCGACCTCCAGATGAGCACACCCTGAACACACCACACCCTTCCACACCCCGATAGGGTGATCGTTCGCTGCATCTCGCTGCTGAAGGGTTCGGTCTGGCCGCGTTATTTTTTTGCGACCTTCCAACTATATAAGGTTCCAGTGAACAGTTTCCCATCGCAACTGCGCCAAAGCCTTTAAAGGGGTTCCCCATCGGCAACAAGCAAACAATACTGAACCAGCGAGGGCTGAGTGTGGACACATGTGCCTTTGAAGGTCTTGAAGTACCAAGGGTGTCAAGGGCTGTTCAAAAGCTCTGGCTGCACACAAACCACAAAACGACAGGTGCACTTGCCACTCTGTTGAAGGATGTTTTCAACCTAACTGCCACGACAAGTCCCGGGCCCACGAGAGGCTCCAAGGCCTGTGTTCTGGCGATGAGCTTCATGTGCTCTAAATCCTGTCCGTCGGAAGAGCCATTTGTTCGGACAGAATGCAACTTACACAACAGTCCCTGTACAACCGTGGGACATGTATGAGCAAAAACGGACATGGGAAAATCACTCATGGAGGAATCTATCAAAAGTCTTAGAACCCTCACCACTGGGTTGGATAATGTTGGAGACCCATGAAGAATTGAAGATCTCGGTATGTGGGAGATGCGTCACCAGCCCGGTTTGGAAAAGCGGATCCAACACGGTCCGCTGCTGGGTTTTCTATGGTTTTCTCCACGCGGTCCGGTCCGGACTGCCCGGAGTGGGGTCTTGACCCAGTTCCCTTGGTTCCTAGTAGCGTCGCTTCTCGCTCCCTTCGTAGCGATGCCCTTTGCTCCGTTCGTAGCGTCCTTGTTCCTTGGTAGTAAGGCGAGCCCACAGTAGTGTCCTTGCTTCTAGGAGCGATGCCAGGAGCCCCTAGTAGTGTCCTATTCCGTATCACGTCATGCGAAGTGAAACCCCTATGCCCGGTGGCCTCCGTGCTCAGCTGCGACGTGATGTCGGCGCGGCTGAGCGCCAGGGCAATGACCGCCGTCTGTGTGCGCACCTGGCAGCAGGACTCCCGAGATTGCCTCCAAAATTGAAGCTTGGCCCAAGTCGCAGGAAGTTCCCTGGATCTAGATCTGATGTGGCCGCTGTTTGATGTGGCCAACCAACCAATGAACCAGAAAAAATATAGACACAGCCATCAACTAAACTGCCATGCTTCTACCAAGCAAAGCCAGGGAAAAGCAGGCTTGGTGTGAAGAAACTCCTTTGATGCCATGCGCATCTCCGGGCGATCCACTCCCTTCAAAGTCTTGTTTGGCACTGCCCTGTCAAATGTCATGCTTGGCTGTTTTTGTCAACAAGCACGTGTAGTACAAATCTCCGAAAGCAAAAAGCCACTCCGAAGGCAAAAAGCAAAAAAGCACGTGTATATACTGTATATATATATATATAGTAGTTAGATGTAGTTAGTTTTAAATCAAATAGTTGCCCCATGTTGCCCCTTTATAGTCATCTTCAGATCCACATGTATGAAGCGGGAACAGCAAGGGGATGTTTGTCAATGCTTGGGAGAATTACTTTGCCTTGAATGCTACCCAGGTGATATTCCCGCCACCAAATATCAAACTGAACATGTTGTCTTTCTCCTTGCCCATCTTCTTCACTCAAAACTGCACCTCAGCAGCTCGAAAGCAGAAGCCCGAGACTCGACTCGTTTCACGGCCAAGGCACGGTCGCCGTACGAGGCATATCATAGAGCACCGCGATCTCGCCAAAGAAGGAACCCTGCGAGCAGAGGACGCTACGAACGGAACAAAGGGCATCCGGACGCTACTAGGAGCTTTTGGACGAAACTTCCACGAGGCGCCAGGCGCTTTTTCGCCCCCTTGCAACTAGCCACTGAATCAACAAGACCAACCACCAAACAAAGCACCACAACAAAGAATCTCCAAAGCACAGCTGCAACCAACGTGTCACATGTTCACAGAAATGTGCTTCAATTGGAACGTGTTTGGCTGTCAAAACAAGAATTGACAAGTATAGACAAGTTATTTTCAGGTGCTGCAACTGCAATTCTTATGTCAAATTGTCCCAGATTCTTCTGCTAGCACCAAGCAATCATAGGAATAAAATCAAACTCGCTGGTTCTTACCCACGCCATTTGCACAGGGGCCTTATCTGGAATGATGTTCATTGCCCCCAGCTCACGGCTTCCCCAATGGAGTTCTCATGGCTGCTGGTCCATGTTTCTGTGTGGGGCGAGAAAAAATCTTGGGAGCTGGTCACCGACATGTCAAAGTAAAGGAAGCTGGAGTAAGATTCACAATCAACAATCGAGCCACAATGGCAAAGTGATGTATTGCCGGTTTAATGGTGTAGAATTCAAACACATCCCCCAAACAGGCTGGACAGTCGGCCACCGTCGGCCGAGCGTGCCCTTGCCCCGGTGATGGAGGCCCGAGAATGCCCCCTGAAACACCCAAGACCGGTGAAAAACACCGCTGCGACGTGGAGCGCCCCCGGTCTCCGGTGCCATAAACGTTTGGCCGTCCAAACGAAGGCGAACGGCGTGACGCCCCAGCACGTGCAACTCGCCCAGCGCATCCGCCTTCGAGAGTTGCCCCACTGTCACTTCGCGGCCATTGAGCTTCTTCAAGACCTCACAAACCCCACCTCAGGCACCGCTGTGGCGAGTGATAGGGCCCATCGATATACATGAGGCGAATGAGAGGGGCCATCGTCTTGAGCTGATTCGTCTTGGGGTATTTGGAGCTTAAGAGAGAGATTCAGCAAGCAAGCTCTGCTCTGTTCCCACCTGACCTCGACCACATGATCGCTATCTGTGCTTCAGGCTATTACACAAAGACACAAAAAGCTACAAAATGTGCGTGGTTGTGTAAACTTGGACCGGCATTCGCCACAAATTTGCTGTTCTTAAGGGAGCCACGTTCGATGATGTACAACTTGTCTCCCACCTCCCGGGCAATGCGAAGCTCAATGCGAAGCTCATGCGAAGCTCATGAAGTCTGGGCGAGTCTGGGTGATGTTCAACTAATGACAGAGCTTTGAGCCTATATGGGATGGCCCTGAATCGCTCAAAGGTGTTCAAAGGCACATGGTTCACCGAACACTGCAGCATTCCCCTCTCTGACAGTCGATGTGGACGGCCCTTCACGACAAAATGCCCAGATCCAACTTAATTAGGTCTCACTTGAGCCACTCTAAAAACCTGGAGTCACTCCCTATGTCGTATCACTTTCCTTGCGCGAGGCCTTACGCGCTGCTTACGCGGCCCTCACTTTTGCTTACGCAAAGCAAACTTCCGAAATGCTTACGCGAAATGCTTACGCAATCTTACGCAACCCAGGGTTTTGCTTACGCAGAATTCGATATGACAAAGTCCTTACTTAAGATGTAAAGGCAGGTTTTTAGAGCGGCTCACTTGGCCTTCATTCACATAGGACCTCCTTGCAACCATTGTACAGCTCAAACATCGTCTGCTCACGGATCAAAAAGGGCACAACCATGCACAACCCACAATTCAGCGGCGGAAAGTGAGTCAGTGGGTGAAATATATAACAGGAAATTTACAATAGAGCCTGTAACACTGTAACATCCTAACCAGCACCCCTTCCAATCACCAGCTCCAGCACCAAAGAACCCATAAAAAAAATCCACGGAACCCACCGGACGATGATCCGCACGATTCGCGATCCGCGATCCCGTCGTGCGATGCCTCGCCCTCTTTGATGATGTATTGACCTCGCTCAAAGGTTTCCGCCTTCAGGAAGCTCACCAACCTCACGGAAGGTTCACCGTGAGGAGCGACTGCTTGAAGATCAAACGAGCAGTCGTGCTACTTCATGGGGCTGGTGTTTGGAAAGGCCACGTGGTTCAAGTAAAGAAGGCAAATGTTCCTTTGCAAATCGGTCCGTTCCAATGTCATGAAGGCATGACATGTTCTTTTATTCACAAGATTCAAGAAGCTCAAAGTAACAGAAAACAACAAGATTGCATGATTTTTCTTCAACTTTCAAGCTTCCTCTTGCAGATTCATTGAACATGTCGTCTCAGTTTCCAGAGTTGGACCAAACTCGCCGAGCCGCAGTATTGCAGGAAAAGGAAACGACGAATGCAGTTTGGACGTGGTAACATCATGGAACCGCCAAACAAAACCCATGACAACCCAAGTGCCTGTCTGCATCTCTTCGGCACCCAAAAACGCTCTGGCACTCCTTTTGTACGAATCACTGTCGTCACACGTGAATGGCCGTCATTGCCTTCGGCAAAGGTCGGCCGCTGGGCCCACAAATCATCGCATCACTGTCCGATCGTGGCCATTGGACTTACCAATTTTGGCCTAAAAAATCCGACTAGCTCGTGGTAGGCTGAGTGACGTGTTGTCAGGTGATCTGTGGACCGAGTGCCCTTCTGCGATTTTGGCGACCCGTGCGCTGAACAAATGCAGGCTGACAACAACACTTTGTTTGGTGAACAAATGCAAGAACGGGATTCAAACAAGGTCACTGCGTATGACTTTGCTGTGCAAAACAACAAATACAACGTAGCACAACGCAGGCTCTTGCAATTGCTTCACTGTCCGCAGCACAAATGACAGCAAACTTGGAATATAACAGAACCACTCTATATTTTGCCCCGCCTGCAACATCCCTGCAGCAACACAGGGTGAAACCAACACATGGCTCATGGTGCCGGTAGGGGTGGTGGTTTCGACACCTTCGTGATTTTCTTGTCATGTGCCAATGTGGCAACATGTCCCGATTCCATAGTGACACGTACCCGATTCCACAATGAGGGTATGGTGTGGTATTTCCCACATGAGCCGATCATGAGTTCGCACTCCTCACGGGACTCTTCATGGCCTCTCCAGGCACAAAGAGATATTCGGAAAAGATGTCTTTGCATGTCTTTGCGAGACCATCCAAGAGTGATGTACGAACCCCCAACGCAACTGCGTAGGGAAATCCAGTACCTCGCCCGCTGATTTGGGGGGGTCCCCGATTCGGTTTGACAAGCCTGGGAAGGGAGGGGACGAAAGCCACTGGTCGCCAGTCCTTTTTGAGCGCATGGAGAGCTGTGGGTGAGGCCATCTGTGCCAGCGCGGCGTGGCAAACTGCTTGCAATGAGCGAACATAGTCTTTCAACGTATTTTCTTTGCATCTGCTTGGGGAGACCCAGAAGATAACGCTCCTTTGCTGGTGCCCTTTTATTATCTTCACAAAAACTTGACAAAACAATCAAAAAGGGCACCACCACACATGGCCTCTTCGTTGAGCCCGTTGGTCACAGTGCATTCCAGCCCACCCTCTCTTGGACCGCTTAGATGGTGTTCTACGCGTTTCCTGCTTCTATATCTTCTATATAGGGAAAAACATGCCTGCTTGTCTTTACAGCTCAGCAAGCGTGGTGTTTCGACGGTCCTTTGCTGATACCACATATTGTCTGCTGGGCTGTGGTCTTTATAGCGGTGACACGCCTGCTTGCAGGTTTCTGTCATTACAGCTGAGCAAAAATCGTCTTTCGACATCTTAAAGGCACATGCCTACATCGTTCCACACACACAACTGGACGTCCTGCTGTCCACTTGAATGGTGTCATGGCCACTTGGTGATGCAAAAGATGCCCTATCGAACCTTTTTGACATCACTCGCATCACCAAGGCCCTTATAGGGGTGCATTTTGGACCATCCCTTTTGTTTGCTCTCTCCAGCAGGCTCTGGGTTCACCCCTCCCGAAAGGGCCCACTACGCCACTCCCACACCCCGTAGGACTCACTTCGTTTGCCATCAAGCGCTTCAGCCTAGCCTGTCGGCTGGCTTTCGATCTACACAATAACTAATAACATCTATAGAATAAGCTTGACCAATCAATTCGTATTCCTGTTGACTTCCCGCTTCCATGCATGGCCAGCACCTCCATCTTCGCCAGCATTACCCATGAATCTTCGAATCCTCAAGCATCGCTCGCGCGCATTTCGAAGAGGATCCCTATGTCAACAGATATGGCTGCAAAACCAGCACACCATTCTTGTGGCTTCTTCCTGCTTGAAAGAAAAGAACTCGGGCCATTTTCTGAACCTGAAACCGCTACATCCAATCTCATCTACTTCCACACCACCCATTCTTGCTCACTCTGAACTTCACTGTTCCCCCGTCAGGAATCCACAAATTAATTGAGATATCCCCAATTCAGATTCAGCAGTGATTCAGCACAAACATCCTACAGTAGAGATCCTGAGCTAATCATGACTTTATCATGAGCTGTGTTCGGAACCCTTCGGCCAAGCGGCGATTCGCTCAAACAAGCGGACGTCCTTCACTCGCAGCTCCTGAGCTGGAATCAAGGCCAAAGCGCAGCAAAAAGGGTCTCGAAATCGGTCTGTTTCGATCCAAAGGAACAGCAAGACAGTTCGAGGGATCCAAAGGCACAAACGTTTCTGTGCATAGGTGATGCCAGGGATGCCTCAACGTGCACGTGAAGCAGCCCCCTGTAAGCTCCGTCGTTTTCCAACATGCCCTGCCCCATCGATTTTTCCGCACCTAAGGCGGCCCTTGGATCCCCGAAAGCCGTGGCGATCTCGAGCACCAGCACCCAACTCACGCACGCGCTCTCGCGAACGCGTCCGTGACGCGTCCGTCCGCGGCGCGTCCGGACTGCGTGGGAAGGACGCCTGCGTCAAGAGGACGTGGATGAAGTCGGGGGGATCGCTGTCATTAATTTGACCTCGGGTGACATGAAGTGGTTCTGCTCAAAATAGAGGCTCGAGGGCTCCTTTTGTTTTCGAGGGCTCTTTTTCTTTTTCCAGAAGTATCACAACGATCCATCATGCCATGTTTGTTCAACAAAAGGTCTCTTCCATGCTAGTTCTTTTAGGCGCATTCAGTTTCCTTTCCGGCTAGTTGTGCCAGAGTGGACACATGTTTGGGCATGTATCAGAATAAGACCCCCAAAGGCCCCCTAATTAGGAAGACTGAAGGTCGTCATCGGTTGGGGGGTCTATCAAAATACAAACCCACCCGGCGTCATTTGAATTGATCAACTTTCCCTGCAAGCCTGCCGCGTACATTGGTGCACACTGTACTGTTTTTGCGTCCTTTTTGAAAACGTCACCGTTCAAATACAGTAGTTTGACGGTCAGGAATGTTGAACATATAATAGTAAGCAGTAAGCAGCATGTTCCGTGAGAGTGGAGGTACGAGTAGTTCCCACAGGGGCGGACAAAAAGTGCGATCGCCATGTACGCAACCACCGCGATGACGTTGAGGTCCGGTGGTGTTGCATGCCATCACAGCATGGCTATGGGCAAGACCATCGGGGGATGTGTCACAAGAAACAACTAACATGCAAAGGCATAAATAAAGATATCAAAATATTGTATATACAAAAGCAGAATGGCCAAGAGGCCAGTAGATTCTACTGTCCCTGCAAACTGGCTCCACTCATGCCTCCAAGCAGCATTTCACCCAGAACTCTGTGTCTTTCGGACCACTGGAGTACTTGTATCTCTTGGCCTTAGATTGCAGCTGCGCTCAGTACTCTGTTGTTTGTCCTGGAAGCGTGCTCCCTGTGGAAGACATGTCATTCTTTTTGGGGCAAAACACAATGCAACGGTAAAACTACAGGACCCTAAATGATGAATTATCATACAATTGTATGCTTTATGCCATCCTTCACATCCTTCACATTGGCACTTACCCTCCGCTCTCTCTCTCTCTCACACACATATATCATATACCGTCACATTGATTTAAACAAGTGTGGTTGGAGGCCAGTGCTATTATTAGGTTGTACCAGTAGTTTACAAGCGTCTTAGAGGCAACAGCTTGGTGACAACCTTTTTATGGGCTTGGAGGCCATTGCTATAACGTTGGAGGTCATCGCTAGTAGGTTGGAGGCCATCGCTAGTAGGTTGGAGGCCATCGCTTCTAGGTTTGAGGCCTTTAAGAGGCTTGAAGATCATGCAAATACACCAAATAGACAGAAAAAGTCGATCCCCTTTAAGCACGAATTGAACATTGCATCTATCTTGAGGACCATGGCCCATGAGCCATGACACTCATCCTCCAAGCTGCAATCAGCTTCTCCATCCGGATTTCAGCTCTGGCGGCGTAGGCCTTGGCCTCTACTTGTGCTCGAACCTTATCCCGAACCTTCTGGTTGCTGCAAATGTCCTGCACAGGACATTCCCACCTACTACGAGTTGAGGAGTGACTTTAAAGCAACTACTATGATTTTCGTCTGAGTCTATGGATTAGACTTCTTTTCAAGCTCCGCAAGTCCATCGATACTGTCAGCTCTGTATGGAAGCCAAACAAGATAGAACCACGCTCTCTATGGTTAGACAGACATGTTTACAGGGAAAACCAAAAATTGGAACCGTCACGCTGAAACCCCCCCAACCGCGGGGCGTTTCTGAGCTCCGCGCGGATTGATCGACGCACGCGTCGTTTCGCCGCCGGTCGACCGCCCGTCTCCTGGACGACCCGATTGGCTTCGCTTTCGCCCTCGAAGGTCACCAGCCGTGGCGGCGCTGCTTCGGCCTCGTCGGTGAGCATCGGGTCACCTGAGTGACGATGGCGGAAGGCGAGAAAGCAAAAGGAAGGTGACATGCGGAGACCATGCAGAATGGAATGGCACTGATGAAAGGGCGAAGTTCCCATCTTGCAAAAGGAAAACACATGAAAACCATTGAACACCAACCTCAGGAATTCTTGGCCCTTCTTGGTGCTGTGGGGACACTCCCCCCTCGGATCCCTTGAATCGGATCCCCAAGCTTCCTTACCTGATCAGGGAGGTGCCGAAGCTGGAGATGGCCATGCTTGGACCAATGGCTGCGGGCGGTTGGAAAGGCCAGGTGTTTGGACCATGCGGTGGTCGGTTGGTGGCCTTTCCCCCAAGTCCACACATTCCGCACACCATGCAGCAATGCAAAAGTGTGGTGCTGCAACATCCGAAAACAAACACATATGTTCACAAGCTATACTCCCTTGTGCCGGTGATATCTACGTCTACATTCGGTTGGAAGCCGCCCCTATGGCTACAAGTTGGGCATAAGAACATCGCAAGGATTCATGGCGTGATCTCAAAATGACTACAGGACTTCAGCGAAACTGTTGAAGGGGTCGGGGATCCCTGGCTTTATCTTCATTTTTTCATAAATGTGGATGTCTTTCTCCGGCCTATTCCTCCGCATGTTTGAGGAGTGTGATGGTCCATTATTCCATCTTCGGGTCCTGCATTCGTTTCTTCAAGAAGACAGAACTCGTTTTGACCAAGGGCCTCCGGCCAAACGTAGCCAAACACACTAATTCTGTCGCCACAAAGACTCTTGGCTGGAGCCTCGAGCACGGTCGAGCCTCGGCGCTTCACCAAACCGAGCGCCGGTGTGTCCGGGCCATCGAGCCGAAATTGGGTTTTGGCATCCAAAACCTCGTTGGAGAGCAAGGGCACCTGAGAAGCGCCGGCACGGGTGAAAAACGCAGGCGTTTCCAGGCATCGGACCAAAAAGGAGAAGTCGGTGTCATCGAAACCCGTCGCGATCAAAACAATCGCAGCGGGCAAACCCCTCACAATGTGGGTGTGGCTTCAAGAAACAAGGAGATGTGTGCATCGCCTTAGATGGTGTAGTTCTGACATGTTCTGACGACAGTTCCATGAGGTCCATGACAGGAGAATGAACAAGTCGAGCATTCCATGGCCGTTCCCATAGACCCAACAGAACAACTCATTTTCGGCAATGGGGACCTGTGTGGGAGATTGCCAAGAGACAACCCAAAGTAAACATGCACCCAGTGTCTGACCTTGCAGTCGACATCACCGCACACCCAATCAAAGGCAGCCCAATCTGCCCACCCATCACTGTCACTGCCCATCACCCTGAGCTCATTAATAATATGGAGCAAAGGATGTTTAATCATATATATAATGTATATATATATATAAGTAAGCTTTATGTCAGAATCCAAGTGCCCATCATCCTACCAGCCCATCATCCTACTGTCCATCATCCTGCCAGCTACTGTCAGAATCCAGATCTTTCATGTTCTTTCTGTCTCGGAGATGGAGGCCTCTCTACCCTTCCAGCCTTGGCGAGGAATTGCCCGCGAAACTCCTGGAGACGGTGAGGAAGATCCGCTGAACAAGTGGCAGACGTCTCAACCTAGGAGACCTCTCTGATGAGGTTTTCGAGGTCAAGGAACGCAAACTGAGGATGAGCATCAACCGTAGGCCCTAGATGGCCCGTTCGGTCGCTTCGCTGCGGAATCCCCATGAACGCTTGATGCAATGGAGCTTTGCAGCATGTTCAAAAGCCAACTGTTTCTCCGTCGTTCTTCTCTTCGTTTGACCAAACCAATTTCCATCCGCCATGGTGAAGTTGCCGATGAAACCTCAGAATTCTGTGGGTACTTTGAAGAGTGCATGGATCATTCTCCTCTGCCTAGCCCGATCACTCACCCGATCAATCCATCAATCTCCTGGTGCATGTAGGCCATGAGGTCCTGCATTCCTGAGCACCAGTTAAGCAGCAAAAATCTCGCGGCCGAGGTGAACAACGAAGTATGTGGCAAAGGTCAACATATTCCGCTCAGAATTCCCAAAGTAAGAACCTTTGTTTTCAGAATCCGGGAATCTTCCTCGTAGAAGGTCTACTTCAAGGTTTTTCAAGGAGATCGTGCTAACCAATCCTTCTGGGCGAAGTCTGTCATGGAGGAATACAGGGTTGAAGTTGAAGCAAGAACGAGAACAGGACTTCCCTGTTTTCTTCGCAGAATCATGGGCAGCTGTTCTGCGCTGTCTAGTCAAAACCAGGTCAAATCAGCAATGTGGCCCTGGTCCTTGGTCCAAGTTCTTCTATTTCACCCCTCTTTGCCGATCAAGTCGCGCTGGCCGTTGGCCTTCAACAACTGAGAATGGCTGCTATGCCTAGAGGCGTCCATCTGGGGGTGCTGTCCATGAGCGGAGAAACATCCTGCAGGATTGTATTGTAGGTGAAACCAATCCACAACCAACGAAACTACGTCAGCACCCCAGAAAACCATTTGGAGCAACTACAATACAATCACAACAACAGGACCGTTGAAGGCAAGGGCTTTTGGATCATGTACTGTAAGTCTTGGCGTAATTCTGGGGAAGTCACAGAGGTTGGCCATCATGCCCCGGATCCAAGTCCCTCCAACAGTTCATTTCACTGAAACTTCTAACAGTTCTTGTGTCATCATCAAATAATTAGTGCATAAACTTCCACAATATAGTTGCAACTTATGGCAATTCCTTGCAACCAATCGATGGTCCTACAGTGACGGCCGTGGGTTGGTTTACAGTAAATGATGGTGCAAAGCGTAAGCCCTCAGTCTTCCCGTCATTCGTTTTATTGCAAATGGACCTCAATAAGGAGCATCAGCTTTCAGATATGTGATATGTTCATATATTCCTTGCTGCAACAATTTACATAAGAAGCTTGGGAGCAATCAAACATCCCACTGCAGGTGCTGACGTCAGTTGGAAAGCTCACCTACCCCAGGCAATCAGGTGCTCAATTCCACTTCGCCAAGGCTTCATGGTCATTTCCATCCATGTCCTGCCTGACTTGGTCAGAGAGGATGCGCTCTTGCACCGTTTGCAGCGTTCTTTCCCAGGGCTTGCACCTGCCATGGCGTTCTTGAGCTCGGCCATCGTACGGACGAGGGAGCATGCGAACGGCGGTGGGTGAAGGAGTGGTATTGAGGAGTACGGCCTGGACCGTTCGCAGGGTTCGTTCTGTGCAGTGCTTCGGACCCACAAAAGGTTGGACCCCTCTTGTTTAGAATCTAAGTGCACATACAAACTTGTTCAAGCAAGGGGATTCGAGTTTCCGCTTCATCTCAAGCTAGAATCACTCTCTTGATGCTGCCACCTCTTCATGTGCTTCACCCATGCTTTACCAACCGTGCTCACCCCTCAAAAGACCTCGCAAGATTTGCTCCAAACGTAATGACACAAAGTCACAAAGGAATAGTCGATGCTTTTTAAACGCAAAGGTCCGGATACACAAAACCAAAAACCCATGTAGAAAGAGGATCAGAGGGAATTTGATGGGCGAACACCAGCCCCACCTTACAAGACATGTTGGCCCCAAAAAAGAACTCCAGAAGCTGAAGCTACGTTTCGTGAAATTCCTGTGAATCCAGTGGATAAGATGATCGCCCTCATCCCCTTGCTAACGCAACTTCAGCCCTGAATTCAACTACCCCCCTCCCCAAGCCAGACCAGCAGCATATGCTTTGGGTATGGCCATTGGTCATCGTTCGCCAATCAGCGGTCCCGTACCGCGGAGCTCCAGCTCTCCCGGCAACTAGCCCAGCTCGCTCGGGTAAGTTCACGCTCAATGTCGAGGTCCACTGTTTCTTCTCGAGGGCCTTGACCTCGGAGGGTCCACTGGCAAGCTGGCGCAAAGGATGGAGGACCGGGGGGGTCCCCGGTTGCTTGGATGCACATGGAGTGCCCAAGCTGCTCAGGAGTGATGCTAGTCCCAAAGGTTCTAAGGCCCAGCACATCCCAGCACTTAGATCCATTTAAACTGTGTCAGCCTGGAGCATTAAGATCCTGACCCCGAGGTCCAAGGACATGGCTGTGGGTGCTTTGGCCTCGACTTGATTCGAGAGGAGCCACAGAAAACGAAGAGCATAATAAGGATCTGAACCAACCCAGGCCTCATCAACCAATGGAGGAAGGACCAATGCATTGCTTTGTCTCTCCTGGCGGCTCTCCATTTCCAAAAGCAGCTTTTCAGCTGGATCTTCCAATGAAACAAAATGATCGACCAGCCAGCGTGAGCCTTTTTTTGCACCAGTTTGCCACGAGGGCAGGCAATGCCCTCCAACAAAAAATATCTGGCCTCTTCAGCCTTGGCTTCTCTACTAGGCAGCCTGGCTCAGGGCAGTCTGGCTATCGAGATGGTAAACAGAGTCAAGGAGTCAAGCCCCCCAAAATGGGCAGCAATGAACATCAATGATATATCTTTAAGTGACTTTAAGAGCAACCATTGAGTGGTGCAGAAAATACACACAGGATCACACAGGTCACTTCAGTCCTTCTTTGGCCATTCCAGCATATGCTTTCCCCTCTGATTGGATTAAAATTGACCGTCAATCATGATCCCTGATTCATCCGTTATTGAATAGATGACTACACTCAAGCATGGGCCGTGTGGACCTTAATTCAGAATGCAACAGGATAAGACAGTTTTTGAGCCTGCGGATCAAACATGCACGAAGACAACACCCCAAAATGAACAGGGGATTTGGATGGATTTGGGTGTTTCTCAAAACACGGGACCCTCACCAAACCATATGAATATATAACATTATATAACCCCTACTTTGAGAACCACCCCATTTCTCTGCATTGTAAAGGACTTTTTCTGCTCCACTAAGAAGGACCCGAGCCGGACTGGACACGCGTTGTCATCCGACTTCGCAAGGAACCGGTGAAACGGCCTTTGTTTCGGGCGGTTTGGTACAGCCTCTTCCCGAAGCATGGTAGTCCTGGTAGCATAAAACTCAGTCACTCCATCTACTTCAAACGCCACGGCCCATGGTCATCGTTCGCATCTACTTCAACCACCGCGCGTTCGGACCGGAAGAAATCAAGGACCGGAACACCCACACGATCGAGAACTTCACTCCTGACCCGGTGGCATCGACACAAGACGCACCGCCATGGACCGCGGACCCTCGACCGTTCGAACAAGCACCACGAGCCGAGCCTAGCGCTCATAGGTTCTTTGGACCTTGGCAGTCCGGGAATCCTGCAACCCTTTGCTCCTGCTTGAAAAAGGCTTCGAAAACGGACACTTACATAAAGGTCTGGGGCACAGATCATGCGCGAAAGCGATCCGTTCACTTGGAGGGGCAAAGTGAAGAAAAATGCCCCCAACCCGTCCAGATGGCGACTTCATTGGTTTTGGTGTATGGCGAGCCATCGTTGCTGCATCTCATCTCTCCACGCGGAATCGCTGCGTCGAGCTTCCCCCAAACTCATTTCGTCGAGCGACCCGAGATGCAAGGCAAACGTTCGCACACAAAAATCGGCTCTAGTGTAGACTCTTGATTGATAAACCCTCCCCATTCGGATTCAACTACCTCTTAATGTGGGGGGTTTAGGAATCAAGAGTCTACACTACTTGCAAGAGATATAGTAACACCCCTCTCACTCATCGGCGCATCGGCGAGGTGCCGCAGCTTTCAGGGGCCTATACTATACTTATATTCCTGACAAGCATCTGGCACGAAAAATGACCAAACTGAAGCGCACATCTGTAAACCCGAACCCCGGAAACTGTTCGGACGTCTTGCGTGTGAAAAAACCTATCAACTGTAAACTGGCGCCAGTCAAAAGGATGGCAGGCCATCAACCCTATCAACCCTATCAACCTATACAGTATACGAATCAGAAACTTCGCTTTAAAGTGTGATTGTCTAGGTTTATCGCCTCCCATCCGGGCCCCCGTGCGCTTTGTCGCCTTTTGCCCTGAGCAGAAAAATGGTAGGAGCATGTAAGAATATGTAAATTCATGTGCCATCGAACCAAGCAGATCCACAAGAACCCCTCGAGTTCTAGCTCAATGGATTTGCATATTGAATCGAGCTCCACTGCCTAGAGCTGGTAGAGCTGGTAGGCTCTTTGGAGCTGCTCGACCTGAAGGCAAGCAAAGCGCAGCCAAGAGGCATGGTGGCAAAGACCGCACCGGTTGACAATGACAATCATTGACAAGGCACACCAGGCCTCTCCCGCATCCACTACATCCGGCATTGTTGCAACTAAGCTTGTTATGGGTCAGTTTTGACCCAGACCTGTCTGGCTGTCTCCGTTTCAGAGCGATCCCTCTCCTTGAGACCCACTCAAAGCCACGGCTCCGTGGCTGGAACTCTCTCCATCGGACCGTGGACCGGTCGAGAGCGACGTCCAACCCTGTGTGACCCCGAAGAACACCGGGAGGTCCAAGCGAACCGAAGCTGGGTCCTAGGCCCTGCATGTGAGACCAAAAGGAATACATCCGAATCCGAAGATCAAACACCTCGCCGCGCTAGAGATTCCCTCCATCCAATGGTAAACCCAATGTAAACCCCAAATAGACCTGTTGTACCACAACCTCTTGGTATTCGAACGAAGACCAAGAACGCCCGTGACTGGCCGGTCCCCCCCCCCACGTCCGAGTCCAACCGGTCTCCCCACGGGACGTTGGAGTCCGTCCTGCCGGGGCGGCTTAGACATCAGCGGTCCTTGGTCCTTTTGATTCGGAGTCCCTTCTTTTGAGAACGACATCCAAATGACTTAAAATGACGTGAACAATCCTAGACTAGCCAGTTTCTTGGTGAAATACGAGATCAGGGGCATGTTGATGGGCCGGCATAGTATGTTGATGAACAATCAGGCTGCACCAGCGCATCATGGATTTTGCCGAACGAGTGTGCCTTGGAGAAGACATAAAAAGGTTATATGACCTTGGCTAAGGTGAGATCTTGCACATAGTGCATTGCGTTCCAAGGCGTCTTAGCTGAGATGAAACACATCAAGCAAACATCTTGCTGAGACGATGTCTGAAGCAACAGCGCATGAGATCAACAAACATCTTGCCCCAACAATGTGTCCCCTGACCAGTGGTTTTGTGTGCCGTTCTACGTAGGCAGAGACCTCGAATCCTTGAGCATCAAAAGCAAGCATCATCAGATCCACGCCCCGACCGTCGCACGGCAGAACACTCTTGTGAAACCCAAACAGTGAGTTGCTTCCGCACACAAGATTGCTCAGCTGGACGCGTGCAATCTTGCACAGCCGCAAGTCAGGTACGATTTACTCCGATCTCCTGAGAATTAGGAACAAGGTTCGCTACGAACGGGGCTCCTGGCATCGCTACTAGGAGCAAGGACGCTACTAGGGGCTCCTGGCCGTACTACTAGGAGCAAGAAGCTATTAGGATCCATTAGGAACATCTCATCTATGAACATCGAGAGGCATTCTATTAAAGCGTGCCTTGTCACTTAGAGAACTCCTATGTGCTGATCTGGATCAGATCTCGCTGGACGTCTCGAGTGAAGCGATGGAATCATTGAACAAACATCCCAATGCCCAACGTTGAGGCCGCCCCCGGCCCTTTTTTATACCCCCAACGGGCGTCAACGAAGACGGATCCCTCAAATCGTCTCCGAAAAGCCCAAACATGTTGGGGCTCCTTTGGGGAGATGGGATGTTCATGATGATCATGATCTGAGCTGGATCAGTTTCTTTTTGGTTTCGTTTGGACTGCTTCGAAACCATCCCAAACGCACTTCGCTCTCTTCGCTCTCTCCGCTCTGAAGGACTTTCGGGCCTTCCGAGGTCTTCGACTTTCCGCCGCCGCACTGAGACGGGGGGAACTTCCTGACGTCTTCACACCCCGGGCGATCCGATGTGACGCGAACCCCGGGTTCGGGTTCACGGAGACGGGGTCGAAGCCGAAAAACCAAAGGACGGTTGACGTGCTGATGATCTCTGGCTATCCGTGGCTCAGCATCAAACATCTTTCCCTTATGGCATGGTGGACGATGCCAACAGGGCCCCACGCCAAGTTTCGACGCTGGCAAAGCCTCAGCAGGTTGTCCACTGGATCAAGGAGCACCGTCTTTACCACCTGCTTAGTAATTGGTCAATCTTTCCAACCACCAAACTGATGCCACAGGTGTCCAACAATGAGTTCTGGCTGATTTGAGTTGGGACAAGGGCTTTTGGAGTCGAATACCAATCACTGGAGACACCCAGCAGTGCTCTTTCTGCTTCCTTGGCACGTCTTTCTGACACTACTAGGAGCAAGAAGCTACTAGTAACAAAGGGCATCGCTACTAGTAACAAGAAGCTACTAGGGGCTCCTGGCCGTACTACTAGGAGCAAGGACGCTACTAGTAACATCACTCTTCAACTGACCTTGATGCATCACCCTCTTCAGTTCGCCTCTCTGCGCGCTTGGCCACTGCGACTGCCACGACGAACACCGCGACCGCTAGCCAAACACCGGTGCCGCCGAACCGCGGCATCTCGGCCGGCCAAAGCCGAACCTCCCCAGGTGCTCGGGCCACCGGAGCAGCATGGCCTCAGGATCCACCTCGGGGCCTTGGTGAACATTGTTCGGTCGAACACATGGACATGGGGTGAGTTTGCCCCCTCTGTTTCTCTTTGGACAGTAGTCTTTCAAGAGGCCATGCCATCCACATAAACCCTGTGATGTGTTCGCCAGAGTGTACACTGAGGATGAAGATGGGAACATCTATATGTAAATTGTATCCGTGTAGGTCCGTGTAGAATATCGATGAAACCCACCAACCTCCTCATAGAAAAGGGTTTCATCAACCCTCTACATTACATGCATATCTGAGCTGTTCCAGCTTCAAAAAGTTCCAACCCACAGATTCATTGATACAATCCACGGATGTTTCATCAGTTGACCTTTACCTGCTTAAGAAGTGCGTTGACACAAAGAAACAAAGACTCAATCAAACCAAAGAGTCCCGATAGAGATTAACAAAAAAAACATCGCAAAACACCGAGCACGATTCTTCTTAGCCAACAGAAACAAGTTCATCCGATGATCGACTCCCCTTCCAGGTCGCAGGCCCCAGGCTTCCTGCACCTGTCGGGCGGGCATGGCATGCCGACCATTTCGGAAAAAAGAACGGCCTCCGAAATTTCTAGACGAAAACACACAGTGGTTTGGTCGATGCGTGTTTGGAATGGTGTCTTGAAAGCTAGGATTTGGAACCATCAAGTCATTCCTATCAGTGTTGCGTTTTCACAAGGGGAGGTTGGCCCAGTGAACGGGACCATGCCCTATTCATCCCTATTCCCTATGCCTATGGCACTTGAAGACTTATTTAGAAACTCATCTGAGCTCTCCCCTGAATCAGGCGTCTTTTCTTACACCAGACTGCCCCACCGGCACAGGCTGCCACAACAGTGATGTTCATCATGACTGAGTTCTTCAAGAGGCACCCAAAGTTAAGTGATATCCAACCGTTCACGTGTGTTTGGACAGTTGGATAGCTGTGAGCAAACTGCTCTCTACCCAAAATATGAACCACGATATCACGCTCTCTTTGTCTAAGCCTTTCCACAGTCTCTCAACCCCCAGCCGTTCCTGAATGACACAACAACCTATGAGCGTATCTGTCTGGAATGTCTAATAGATCCAGCCATCCGCATCAATTTGTTCTAACACGCTCGGGTTACTTCGTACGAACTGAAAGCCACTTGCCACATGCCCACCTAGATGTGAAGCCCTAAGAACATCAGGAGTAAGGTATGTAAAGCGTTCTGACCATGAGACCTCCCTGAAAACCTCCATGAGAGACTTCAAGAATCCCAAAGTGCAAAATCGAAACTCAAGACTCAAATTGCACATCTGCTGATGAAGAGCCGGTGCAAAGGCTGGACACATTGTTCTAGATTCTAGTTACAATCAGGGACCATAAGGAAATGAGCTTTAGCACTCGAGCAGGTACGCGCAGCTGATCAGGCTGCATATCCTGAGGTCACCATAGAGAGCTTAGTTGGGCACAGCTCTATGGGCCTCCTGTGCCCCCCTGCCAGTTCAAACCGAAGGGTTCTTTGATTCCAAGGGTTTCACACACGCACACACACACACAGCTACCTACACCCACCGTGTCTCCAGTGCACACCGTGTCTCCAGCCTCAGAGCTCATGGCTTCAAGGTGTGGCCCCAGAACCCGCCGCATGTTGGCCTCACCGCCGGGCTTCGTCGAGGCGAATGTGTTCGGTGCGCGTTCGGTGCGGCAGGACAGGGTAATTCGTGCTAAGAAGAAAACACCTGCCTTTGGGGAGCATGTTTGGGTGTGACTTCAGCATACTTCAGCAAGATGTGGTGGCTTCATCTCCAAGCCCCCTGGTCTGAGAAAACTCCTTTTATAATCCAGTCTTGGGGGTTGAAGCCTTCAAATGACGACTGGTCACCGCTCAAGGAGCTATGATGCTTGGAACTCGTGGAGTTCTGAATGTAGCTCTTGAGGATGGGTTAAGGATATTTGGAACTAAACCTATGGGGTTGCTATGAGGTGCTATGATGGTTGGAACTTGTGGGTATGAACCTCTTTGACGATGGTTTAAGTTTAAGAGCATGGCAGAAGGCATCTGCTTCCGAATTGGAGGCTTCCCGTGGCATGTCAGGTCATCCCAATCCCTTCGTCGATCATCGCCACCGCAAGTAAGAATCCCTCCAATCCAGGAACCCCGAATTTCTTTGCTGCGAGGAACCGCCCATTCTGCATCGGTCATCCGTGCTGCGCCCGGCTGCTCCCGGCTTCTCGCGCCCGGCTCTTCCCAACGGCGCTATTTCGCCTTGGCAAATTGGCAAGTGTCGAATTGGAACACGTACTTAGATGATCTTAGATGTACTTATATAGTACTAGTATTTAGTGCTCCTGAGCGAGGGCTATTCCTGGCGTGTCCTTCTCAGTCAATGGCGGCAGTCTTGCCCTGCCGCCATTCCTTTGCTTTGGTTTTCGATTCCCAGAGGATGTCCATATCACAAGTAACAGGAGACATGCTTAGAGATTCTTGGATCTTTCAGCATAGGCAAGTGCATCAAAATCAAAAGAAGAAGGTAGTACGTAATATCGACAATCAAGAGTTTTCAAGGTGGTGTTGCAGTCCGTCCCCTTATTTCAACACAAACCCCGATTACGTCGTCTACCGCAGCAGGCAGGTTTTGTCTTCAGCCGTTTGTGTGCAGGACTCCCCCTATGTTCATCACTGAGCATTGATGTAAGTCTATCACAAATATCGCTCATATCTATCTATCTACCTATCTATCTATCTTTAATATAGTAATTGCAATAGATCATCAGCTATCACCAGGTCCATGTCCAAAGAGACGTTTATCTCTTCCTGCCAGGTGGCGCTTCGCTTGGGATACCCAGCGCCCGGTCTTCTGAACCCGAAAGCGGCTTGGATCAGGCCAGGTTGGTCCAAGTTTACAAAAAGAAAAGAGTGTGTGTATTACGGGCAAAGGCCGTAATATATCTATATATATATATATCTTTGCCCGTCGCCATTCCTTTCTTTCCTTTCTTTCTTGCCCGTCGCCAGTGTGTGTGTATATATTATATCAATGGCGACGGGCAGAAAGAAAGGAATCATATAGCAACACTGGTTTCGCGGATGTCCATCTTGAGACCCTGCTATGAAGCGACCATCAGCGGTCAGCTGAAACACATCTACAAACTGCGCCCAGGGGATGCGGAATATATTGAAGAAGTGTCTGCTTTCCTTTTGCGTGCTGCACATCCAACGTGGCCGCGACTTGCACTGGTACTTTCACAGCTCAGCTTCGCTCTTCTTCAGCACAAAGCAGGCAAAGGGCGAGCGGCCGACCGGAAGAACTTCAACCATCACAAAACCACTGGCCTTCGCCAAAGACCTCATCTCTGCCACAGTTCTTTCCTTCCCCCCGTAGCCGATGGCCATATGCACGTCGAAGAATTTCGCCACATGATACTGATTTGGCTGATCTTCAGGCACCAACATGTCGATCACGACCACCTGGCTCTCCTTGGGAGCGGAAGCCTGAAGATTGGAGAGGATCCGAATGCAATCAGCATCACTCCAGTCGTGCAGGATCCACTTCAGCACGTAGATGTCTGCTTTCACTGGCACGGCTTCCAAGAAACTGCCTGGCATGTATGTCACGCTGCTGCCACGCATGAGGTCACCATCTGGCCAGTGTTGCCGGGAGGTCTCGATGACCTGGCCAAGCGATCTGAAAATGTACAAAAAGCTCCGTTTCAGCAGTTCAGCTATTCTTTAGACATTCATAGACTACAGTGACTACAGTACGTAGACATTCACCAACTTGGGACAAGGAGCGGAGGGTAGATCGAACAAAACACCCTGTGCTGCACCCTTCTGCAATAACGCGCGCAGCAGATGACCGTTTCCTCCTCCAATGTCTGCGATGACGCCTGAACGCGGCCACGGGAAGGCATCTTCAATCAACCCCATCATTGCAGATGTGGCCTCTGACATATACTGGCCAAAGAGAGCCTCACTCTCAGGATGCTTTGGAAGCCATTCAGTAAAGTAATCTATGCCATTCAAATGGGCGAAGCCGCTCTTGCTTGGATCTTGCAGGATCTTGAGAGAACCATGAACATAAGGCATTACTATCTCTTCAGAAAGCCTGTAGAGAACTTTGTTCCGAAGCGCCCCACCCTTACGAAGCTGCAGGGACGTCTCTGAGTGGGCAATCCGTCCATCAGGCATCTCCTTGAACACGCCGATGCCTGCCACATAGCGGACTGCCCGTCGTAGCATTTCTGGATCGGCGCTGACGATCTTTGCGATGTCAGCAGCAGGGATGGAAGTGTCTGGAGACAATTCATCAGGCACTCCTAGCTGCACGAGTGCTCTGACCATTGGTAGCGCTGTCCAAGAATCTAGAAGTTGCTGCAAGTTGGGCTGGGCTGGCTGGGCTGAAGTAGCGGTAGAGCAACTACACCGCATGCCAGCCATGACCACTCTCCTAAGAACCATGGCTTCGCAAACCAATCCTAGCAGCCGCAAGGCCTTGATGTGCTTGGTCTATAGATGCTTCACGGACGCGTCAGATCTTGCTTGAGTACCAAAAACCATGTTTGTTCTCTGTCTCCCTCTCCCTCCCTCCCTCTCTCTCTCTCTCATCATGAAGCGTGTTGTCCCATGTGTTCTTCCTACATGCCCAATCAATCAATGAATCAATCCTTTCTTGATCCTGGTCTTGATCACATACAGCTGAAAGTATCTGCAAGTTAGATCTAATTAAACATCAAGGTCACGTCTGGTGACAACGAACTTGCAATTTTCCTGCTTGTGCTTGTGGGTGAAATTATCAAAGGAGTGCATTCAAACCTGTTGAAAACTCTAACGCTTTGACTCTTTGCAGTGGGACTGCCAAACACTCAGGTTGACGAGGCTCGCGAAAAAGCATGCAGCATTTTTGCAAGGCTCTAACTCTAACCGATCTGATCTGGTGGTGAATCAGCCATGGAAGATACTGGGAGCAGGCGAGCGCCGTGTAGAACATCAAGTGCTCTCCAGCGGCTGATACAGCGACATGATGGAACCGTCAAATCGGACGCACTTGCGTCATCTATCGGACGCAAGCCTCTCATCCCCCGCAGGGTCTCGAGGTGAGCTGAGATCTCTTTCTCGATTGCTCCGTGCAGCCTCAAATTCGGGCTGGTTTGGGCAGCGAAGCAATGCGAACAGCAAAATCCAGCTGCGTGTTTAGGAAGAAAACAACATGAAACAAATGGAAATTAAATGAAAACGGGACCAACAAGATGATGCTTAAGAAAAACTTGAACAATTACAGTGTGACTGAGCTTCGGACATCAGTGATGCCCACTGACCACTCAAAGCGTTTCTCCAGGAACTGAAACAGCCGAAGGTTGCCTCAAGAAGAAAGATATAGAGATAGGCTACAGTTGAAGGATAAAGCCAGGATTGCAGCTTGTTACATCCTCGCATCAACCAGAACGAGGGTTTTTGGCTGGTCTTGTATTTGTCCGGTCCTCCATCTCTGTTCCCATAATGTCTTAGAACGACTTCCACAGCATGCTCATCATCTCACAGTCAGTTCAGGAAGCCAAAGAATTCCAACACATGTTTTGTGTCTTCCAGTTGGGAGTCCAAACATGGGCAATATCCACACCCATAAAGTCAGGGAGTCACACACCTAGTCACTTCGTCTGCTCATGAACTGTGAAGTAACGTTGCTTTGAACTATGCTTTTGTCATTTTAATCACTCGGCACATTCCATGCTCAAGCTGCTCTGGTCAAAAGCAAAGGGTAGCCCACACCTACATCAAGATATGCAAATTGACAATGTACACCCAGTGGCAGTCCCTCAACACAATTTAATCCACTTCCGTGCAGCATCCGCTACTCTGAGAAGACGTTCCCAGATCTTCCCAGTACGTTTTGGCTTGGCCAAAGCTACGAGTGATGATTTATGGCCTCGTTTCAGCTTAGCAGACCCAAGAAGTCGTTCCAAAACCCCGGGTGTTTCCTGGACCCGACCACTCCCTCTGCGAAAACCCACCCTCGGAGTGTCCGGATTCTCCGGTGTCAAAAGGTGTTTGAGTTGAAAAGCCCTGGAAGGACCGGAGAGCAATAGCGACATGATTCCTCTTGAATATGTGTGGAGGACTATGAACACACCCAGTTACACACCCAGTGCTCGGCATCAAGGTTGCGCTCTTTTTTGCATCAGTTCGCGGCTTTACGCCTAGGGCTTCACGCATCAGTGGCTTCACGCCTCTTGAAAACCTGTGGCTTGGTGAGGCTCGTGAGACTCCGAAATCCGAGCCTCGAGCTCACTCAAGCTTCCTGCTGCAGTGGCGTGGTGTTTCTCCCTTAGATCTCCGTGTGCACGCGCCCATCCGCCGACACCGAGATGACTCCGCTGTGCCCCAGTGATCTTTGCACCGTCTCGGGGGAGGTCACGTGTCCGGTTGCGTCAATCGCCATTCGGTTGGGGACGTACTGGGCCGAGGTCTGCACAAAGTTGATGGCAGAGTCGGAGTCTTCCTGCGATTCTTTTTTATCAGCTTGGGAACCGGAACGGATCGGCAGAAGAAATTCCAATCCAATTGTTCCAAAGCTGGTTTATGCTGGTGTCCCAAATCTTGGGGTGAAATCTTTGCTGCTAGTAACAAGGGCATTGCCTACTAGTAGCTAGAAGTAATGCTCTTGAAATCATTTGACAGTAGCTAGAAGCCAAGGAGACCAAAACCCTTTCACCACTGATGTCCACAGACCCACAGACCCACAGACCTCGCGCAGCGTCGACGCGAATCCGCGGGGACCTGGAGGGCATAGTCCAAGTCCAAGTCTTCACTGGGGAAGTACTGGTACTTGGGCACAGTCTGTCGCTCGCTCGTGACTCACGTCGTATGGTTGTTGTTATGGTTTCGTCACATGGTCGCGCGGGACTCGTCGTGCGGGACTGGATGAGTCGAAGAAGACTGGGAAGGGGCACTAGTAGCCTCCTTTGCTCCTAGTAGTAATTCCAGAACCCCTAGTAGCTTCTTGCTCCTAGTAGCGATGCCAGGAGCCCCTAGTAGCGTCCTTTGCTCGAGATAATAAGACGACTTTGGGATTTGGGATGATTTGGGGGTACCGAAACTCACAGGCCGCGGGCAACACCGCGACCCTTTGAGAGAAAAAATGAGCGGCTCTTCGAACTTCTTCGAATCCCTACACTCACTGCTTGGTGCTTAGCCGGACACCCAGGGGTCCCTTCGGGTCTGAGACGAACACCGGTCTTTTTCGTCGATCGCGCGGGAAGTGGTGGTGACCGGACTCTTTCATGAAGACCCGGTCACAAATACATACTATACCAAATAGAATCCACATACAATCCAAAACAACAAACCCATCTGTTGCAAGGGGCTTTTTCTGGCTTCCAACTCGACCATTTGCTAAATGGTCGAGTTGAAGTGGCAGCTTCATGTAGCCTATGTTTGTCAGCAGCGTCGGAAGCCTCACTTCCCCAATGATTTGACGCATGCTTTCAAACGGGGTAGATTGCTGATATTTCGTTGAGGTATACATGGTGCTTTGTGGCAAATCTGGCAATCTGTCACACAATCTAGTGTTCGTCTAACTGTCCTTGTCTCACAGCCTGCAAGTTGTCCCAGCTTAACCAAGGGCAATCTTCCTCGAGACAACTATAAAATACATTTATATATAAACACTCTCCTTCAAAGCCCATACACTTCAAGCAACCGTATTCGGGTCATGACGCTTGGTCTTCGACTCTTCGGAAGCTGTGGGACTCAGCAGTGCCCAGGGGGGGTGGAAGCTACTAGGAACAAGTGCCACGCTAGTAGTAACAGGTGCCTTACTAGTAGTAACAAGAAGCTACTAGTAACAAGTGCCTTACTAGTAGTAACAAAAAGAAATGCACAGCAGTGCCCACGGAGGCGCTTCGCTTGACCGGCCTCCGTCTGCTCCTTGTAGTAGGTGGCTCTCAGCTGAGCTAAGTGAAGGGCTGCTGCATCGCAGTCCTTGAAAAGCTCAGCTAAGTGAAGGGTTGCTGAGAGACCAAACGACGCCTTTCACGGCAAGTGACACAGTGACACGGCATCCATCGACCAGTTCAGGGGATCCAATGGTCTGGATTTGTTGCCATCGGACACCCTGCAAAAGGAAGGGCAAGCGACCCAAGTATGAAAAGATCCTGGTGGTCAACCTTCACATCTCCCTCCCCACCTCCCTCTCCCTCCCTCCTTCCTTCCCTCCTTCCCTCCTTCCCCCCCTCTCTCTCTCTCTCCCACCTCGCTGAAGCAATCTTCGGCTTCAACCGCTGCCAAAAGCTCGGCGTCCTGTGGAATTTTACAAGCGGAGCTGAACAGCCGATAAGGAGCACAAAGAACCTTTTTTGATACCTGCTTTCATTGAGGTGCAAATGGCTAAATCTGGCAAGACATTGCCACAGACATCTGCATAATGAAATGTAGTGCATTGTCAAGTCTACTCCTGGACTGCTTCCCATGTTCCTTTCAATTGAGGATGACACAGAGACACATTCGACTCTCTCCCACCTCAAAATCCTGCGCCAAAGCACATGCTGACAGCATGGCAATCCAAAGCTTCATGGCCTCGATGATTGGCTAACAACTAAGGATAACAAGCGACATTCACTTTCAGGTGCCTCCTTTCTTGGTACTTACCTTATTTGCCTCAAGGGATAGCTCGAAGAACTATTGGTTCACAGGATCTTCATGGAAACAACCCACCCGTTGACTGTTGTAGTGGAATGCGACGGATGCTCAATGCACCATTAAACTATTTTCACACAAGGTGTTCCCCAGCATGGGAAAGCCCTTTCTCCGAAACGACTTTTGTGTTTCCTCTCCATCAAAGCCAACATGTTGGTTGGTCTCCAGATTTCCTGGTGGCAACAGAACCTGAATCATATTAACTGGAACATAGAAACACATGAGAGCAGAGACGGGAACAGAAAAAACTGTTTTCAGTCTTTGAGCCCAAGAAGGTCTTCCACCATCCGCCCGCTAGGTGCCCCCGCTCCGGGGTTGAACGTGAAGGCACGGGCCGATGGGAAGGGGTAATTCCCAGGAGTTGCTTTGAGGTAGAACGGCTGCGCTCTGCGGACAAGGACCATCGTCGTTCACATGTGATGAAGGTTCTTTTTAGGTCAAAGCAACTGGGAAAGCCATAGGTGACAAGTGAATTTGCGATGGATCTCCCAAAAAAAAAATCCATATAATATATGATTAACATGACGGTATGACTCCAAACAACACGGTACACTCCAAATCCTGTGGACAAATTGACAAGAATCATTGTCTGCTCTAGGGGCTTAGAAGCCACAAGCCGTAGACACTTCTTTCAGAAACCAACGGCCAAGTCACCAGCCATTCTTGTTGATCACTCCTTTCAGTCGCCAGTGCAGGCCGCTCGGAGCCAGCACCGCTGCTCAGATGGGCGGAATTCAGCTTGCATGGAGGCATAGAGCGTCAAGAACATCCTGCGTTCACCGCTGCATCCTCCTTGAGCAGAACACCTGCAGCTGGGCACCTCCTTCTAAGATCGTCCCTGTTGAAGCAGTATCCGTCGCAGCTCGTCGTCACTGGTTTCAGACTCGTCACCTGCCAGCTCGATCGACCGAGCTCGATCGGTGTCTGTCTTGGGTGTCCAGGCTGGACTGGAATCGAACCTCCGAACATCCGGACGGTGGCAACAACGCAGCTGCAAATTGCGGTCATTTGTCACTTTGCAAAGGGGGCAGCTTCCTTTGCATGCTAAGGGGGTGGGTGTGCCTCGTTTGAGAAGTTCTCGGCCTAGCTTAAGAAAACCCTCTCCAAGAACAGGCAAGCGCACCCCCGGCCTACGAGTTCCTGAAACTGCTCTTTCGACACCCCCAGAGCATCATCCCATCCGAAGCGCGAACACATCACCTCAACAAAGGGCGGTGTCCGCCGTCCACTAAGGTCGACGCATGCATCGCCGCCAAACAAGCCAATGGCCATGGGACGGCAATGAAAAGTGTTCGCTAAGCAGTTCTCTACACAGTTTTACGTAAAGAATTTCACAAAACTATGACTGTTCATGATGGCGGCAACCTTTAACGAATGTGATTGGGGAAGAAGAAATAAAGCAAACATGTTTTAGAAAAAGAACAAGAGGTTGGCTGCTTGAGAGCAAAACATGTCGTCATAAACCCTTTACAAACTGCGAGGGCTTTAAATCTGCAGAGCAATAAAGAACTTTAGAAACAAGAATATGTGTAATTCCAAACGATGAAATCCGCCTACTCCGATAAACAAGAGTAAAGATATGTAAAGTATAGATTAACAATGCTCAAAGGCAACAAACGTAGAGAACATACGAGTAGAATGAGGAAAGAAGAACAGTCAATGCTCCGATGGGACATGATGCGACTCATGGCTCAAAAGGAGTCGGTGTCTGTCCGAAACTCGTCGAGAAAAAGGGCCAGGTCAACTGCAGACGATATGCGATCTTTGTTCCGTTCGTAGCGATGCCAGGAGCCCCGTTCGTAGCGTCCTTGCTCCGTTCGTAGCGATGCCCTTTGCTCCTAGTAGCATCCTTGTTCCTAATATATAGTTATATATATATATAAGTAGGCGAAACAATGCGGAAAATGTTTGAGCACCTTTATGTTGGTCCATTGTCTTGGTTGGCCCAGAACACACACCAACACACACACACACACCTGTACACCCGTACACACCTCCAAGACACCTCAAAATCAAGACAAGCCACTGTATATTGCTCGTTCCACTCATCTTCAGTTCCATCAAATCCACTGAAAAGGGCGAATTCAAGCCTCACTTCAAAACTAAACAAAAGGAGAACGAGATGAAACGAGTCAAGTGTCATTGCCTCTGGTTTGGATACAACTCAACCATACTATGCTAACGTCGAAAACATCCAACAACTCAATTCTATACGTCGAGGTGCAGCTCGGCCGAGCGCAAGACATTCTCCTTCTTCACATCCAAAAGATTGAAAATGCTGTCGATCAGTTCCATGCGATCGAGTTCCATGGTCTCATCCTCCTGGACGATGCGGACGGTTTGGGGACGGCTTGTTTAGTGATTTTAGTGTGAATCCCCAAGGAGAGGTTACAGTATATGATCGCGCTGCCCTTTTGACATCACGAGCTGATGACAGTAGGGCTGGTTGAGTCAAGAACCGTGTTTGCACGTGGACGCCCTGACACCTGGGACCCAAAAACCGTGAAAACAGGTCCCAATCACATCTCAGGATTGGGTTTCAATGTCGCAACCAAAAGATTTCACACTCACAGCTCAGTTGTTGATGAGCACACAGAGCACCGATATGTCAAGGTGCTAACAGACTGGGTGGGTGGAGCCTGAGGCAACGGATGATCTTGGAGATGGCACCAGTCGAGCTTGGATGGGAGGGTGGAGGCCCCGCTCAAGAGCCTGAAGAGCTGCATCCCTCAAGAAGGAGTGGGGAAGCTCAGCAAAGGTAAAAGAAAGGAAGCAGGCACTGAAGCAGGCTACCAAAGGAAGGGGTCTCCAAAAGTTCTTAGCCCAAAGAAGCTCCCCTGTGTTCAGTGAGCAGATTCAACTAAGAGGGGCACCCCTTATCTCACCCGAGAGGCGGGAAAAACCACCGGTCGTGCATCGCTTGCCGCAACTTCCGGTCTTTCAATGGAAGGAACGCTGCACGTGGAAGATGGATGAAGATGGACAGGTCACAATATGAGGATGGAAGGAATTTCAGATGTTTTCATTATTTTTCAGTCTCAATCCAAGCTTAGGCCGGCAGCCTTCGGTCGGACGGACCTAAGGCCGAGCCCACCAGGCCACGCTCCAAGAAGCACTCAGAGCTCCAAGCTTCTCAACCTGACGGGGTCAACAGGGTCAACCGAGGAAGTCCTATATACTTGACCTACTTGACCTGGCCAAGACAGTCCATTCAACAGGCGATCCAACCGAAGGAGTTCCAGGGTGAGGGGAGGTGGAGATGAGGTCGGGCGTTAGAGAACTGAGTTCTCCAAGTTCGGACCGATTGTTGGCTCCCCCATCGATTTGGGCGACGACGAGAACGCCGATGGAGACTTGAGCACAAGCGGCGCTGACTGTGGGAGCTGACGAAGATGCAGCTTCCAAAGCCTGCTATCAAACTCATATTATTTATGATGACACCTCTTAACAGGCTGGAGCACGAAGTTGAAGGGCTGGTCGAGGTTGGAAAGAATCTCAAGGCTCTTCTTCCATTTCAAAAGGATGAAGTGGTCGGATTCAGGGTCATGAGCGATGGGCATGTTGACAAGGATGGCCTACTAGTCTCATAGTTCTTGCGGAAACAGCTGAATGAACCTCCTGCCCCCACTGTGGATTGGGCGGCCATCTCTTCCTTGAGGAGGTCATGATGGAAGAGAAGGGCCATGAAGGTAGGAGTGGCGCGAATGAACCGTTTGACCAAGCAGACCTTGGGACATCTCGTTCGCATGGTCTCAACGGCGCCAGCGAGTTGTTCATCTCTGTTTTCCAACCTTCGCATGGTCCGTGGAGGTTGCTTGGGACGGCAACGAAGGAACATCTCAGCCTATCATCCAGTAATGATCATTAATTATCTATATAGCAAGTCATCATCTCTAGGGGTCTTGAAAGACCCCTCTGAAAATGGCATCCATCGTGTCCCGCAAGACTCCCCCCCTGCAACCCTCAGTCTCGGGTCGACCCTGAGAAGTGTCGGGCGCTCCTGCAACTTCAACGCGAAACTCCGTCGGTTCCAATTCTGGGAGGAACTGCTCTCCTAGGTCGAACAGAGTAACCCAACGTTTCAAAACTGAAGCATCTCCGAGAGTGTTCAGCTGCCTTTGGGGGTCTAGTTGTTGAAGAAAGAGAGTTGGGTAGCTGCAAACCCCAAACCTAAAGAGAGTCAAAGGCACGCGAGGATGTTGCAAGGTTGAGAGCACTTCTCTCAGTTCATCCTCGTGTGTTTCCTCCTCATCGCTCAAGAACTCCTGGAAATGGTGCCTGTGTGGAGTGGAAAACGAGGCAGGCTCGTTTTCCGCCCCGCTGAGTGGTGAAAAAACACCGATTCTCGGGCAAGGTGACCATTCCCTAAGGTCGAGCCCACTAGGAACAAGGTTTACTTCGAACGGGGCTCCTGGCATCGCTACGAACGGAGCAAGGACGCTAGTAGGGGCGCCTGGCCTTACTACTATAGGAACAAGGACGCTACTAGAAGGTCGAGCCCCCGCAAAAAAGACCCTCCTCTTTGCCTCTCCACCCCATCCCACCGTCCCTGTTTGGTGCGAAAAGAAGCGGATTTCTCAGAGACAAAGGGGCAGGGAGATCTCCTTCTGAGGATTCCAGCCATACAACTTGCAAATGCCCGTGAACTGCTGCTCCCACTCCAAATCGCTTCCTTCAAACCTCGGCTTTTTGTTTTTGCTGTGTTTCTTGTTTATCTTTTAAGAATGCTTTTGGAAGCTCGAGCGGATTTGTGGAAGTGAAAAGGGGGCTCCAGGTGGTCCCACCACGAATCTCCAAGGGGTCAGGGATGGTCAGGGGTTCATCGTCTAACCAGGTCAGAGGTTCATCGTACGTAGAAACAAATAACTCATCGTCGTGCGTGATTTTGAAATAATGAAAACAAAAATGGATGTGGGTCAAATCCTCGGCTCCATGCAATTCACAAAGATTATGGGCCTCCATATGGCCCCTACCTTCACATGCTGTGCGTTGTGGTCTTTGAAGGTTTGTGAAGATCTAAATGACGATCTAAATGACCCACAGCCCTTCAATCGGCCAATCCATCGGAACCCCGTGAGCTCTGCAAAGCGCCTGAAGCCTTCCTGAGAAAGGCTTTGGCTCTGCTGGATGCCTTCCTGTCGGTTCAGCGTCGTGAAGATCCGGCTGATGAGCTCCACGCGGCTGAGCCTCTTCTAGCTCACTCAAGTCGGCATCTCACGCTAGGATCAGGATCATAGAAATCACAGAATTATCTTTATCCGTCCATATCCGTCCCAAGTTCCAAGTCCTGAGGGTCACTACAACTCACAATTATAGTCCAACCTGTTTCTCACTTTCTTCGCCCCACCTGCGAAGTTCCTCCTCGCTCTTCACGAAGCTCTTCCGCCCCCAGCTCCTCACCGAAAACCTCCGCTCCGACCTCCGCTGCGACCTGCGCTGCTCGGACTTCCGCAGGTCTCTCCGCTGGAGCCGCGCCAGGACCTCACGAAGCTCCTCCTCCGTGGTGTCCTCGTCGTGGTCCACCAGCTGTGCGAACTCCTCGGCCGAGAGGCCTTGCCCTGCGAGGGAAGTCGGACCAGAGCGGGTTCTGAAACCGGAAAGGGGCTTGAAGGAGTCGAAAAGGGGCTCCACAGGGTCGAATTTGGAGACGTTTTAAAATAGATATTAATATTGAATATATGTAAAACTTAAATAATCTTGAATATACAGTAAGGCTATATAGGGTCCAGTTGGATTGTAAAACCTTTTCACAGGGGGGTTATTGATCAAGAGTCTACATTAGTCATGCCCCAGAACCAAACTGGAGGGAGAATCAGAACCCAATCACTTCCAGGTTACCGTGTTCGCTCTTGACCCCTGCAAACCGATGCCACCCTTGGACGACCAAGCAAAATCATCCGCGGTCTCGACCAGTTCACCACCCGCATCTGCTCGCCTGGAGCCCATCGAAAGAACTGCTGCATGGCCTCCAGCTGCTCTTCCCACTCCACTTCGCTGCCCTCAAAGCCCGTCTCTTCCGCGAAGCTCCGAATGCCCTCCAGAGGCACCCGCAGGCTCCCCTCACCGGCCAAGCACCGGAAGATCGACATGACCCTGCAAACTCACGTGTTGGCGCTTTTGCAGGGCCGCGCGAGCAAAAAAAAGGTGCGCACAAAAGGAGGCAAAAAGGCGCTGTTTGGTGTGGTGTGATGCAACTGACGAAACTGATGGCTGCTGTGAAAAAGGTCTAGTCAAAGCCATCCATCCACACCCACGCGCCACACTTGGGTCAGAGTCCCGCCGAACGGTGAAGAAACCAACGGAGGTGGGTTTCAAAGACTTTCCCAACAAAAAAATCCTGCGAGAAATAAACACCTTCTTGAAGAACTCCAAGCGTCAAACTGTCTCGGCTCATCGACATGGACTGGTTAAAGCTCTTCCGGCTCCACGAATGACTCATGTGCGATCTTTGAGAGCTTCGCGAGCTTTGCATCCTTCGTTGCAGCTGGAGACTCAGGAGAACGCGTCGGAGCTCATCGTCATTGTACTCGTCCTCATCGCCCAAGAACTGGGCAAAATCCTCCTTTGAAATGCCTTGCAGGCGAACAGAGCCCATATGAACGGAAAGAGAACCTTTGGAGTGTTGCTTGTGTACGTCTGACCATGTGCTTGTTTCCTAGAATTCTCCAAATCACTCAAAAATTGAAAGGGAATAAGCAAATGAACGTCCAATTGTTGTGCGTGGAAAACTTGAACTTTCCCAGCCTTCTGCACTCCAGCCAAAGTCTTCAAGCATGTGGGTGAAGCGCTCTTCCCACTCCAGGTCATCTCCATCAAAGCCAGTCCTCTCTGCAAAAGTCCTGACCTGCCATGAATATAGATATTCACTTCGATCACCTAAGATCGTGAAGATTGAGTCAATCAATTCTCTCCGATTCATTCTCTCCACCTCTTCTTGATTTGGCATGATGCTTTTGTTCCTTTGCCACGGAAGTGTGCTGGCACGGCTGCTGCGACTGGTGCGCGAGGAGGGCCGGTGGAGGGCCTGACGCCGAAGCAGCTCAAACAAAACCTCACGTAGCTCGTCGTCAGTGGTGTCCTCATCATTGTTCACCAGCTCTGCGAACTGAGTGTTGGAAATCGCTTCCCCTGTCTCCCAGCCGAAAAAGCTGTACATGGCCTGACGACTGGAAGCATTGGATGACTGGTTCACCAAACTCCACCAATCTTTTAATGGCAACATGTCTACTCCCCCGAAAAGCCCTTCAAACATCTTCAAACCAAAACATCCCTGTTTTTCTATCTAAAGAGCCCACCTCCAGTTGCTCCTGCCACTGCTCATCCGTCCCCTCAAAGCCTGTGGCCTCGGCAAAGATCCGCACCGAAGCCGCCTCCAAGGCGCCGGTGGCGCCATGATCAGCGTCCAAGGCGTGGAAGAGGCCCTCGATGAGCTCGTCGCGCGTCATGGAACTCAGGCGTTCCGGGCGGAGCTCGGGCGGCAGCGAGGCCCGTCCGTGCGGCTTGGAGCTGCTCGGACGATGCCAATGGCTACCTCAGCGCGTCGGCGATGCCTCCAAGGGCACGACGGTGGCGAGCATGCGAGCACGGGCAAAGGTGCCACAAAGGGCAGGTGAATAACAAATGAGACCTTGGAGGTTTATGGCAAAATGGATGAGATGTTTGTTTGGGGCGGTGAAGGTCTTCTTATGTCTTCTTCTGGTGCGGTCTGCCTTCGATTCAACGGGTCTGCTTCAGGCATCCTGTCTTTGCGGGGCCTGCGTGGATGTGGTGAAATCAACCGTGTTGGCGATCCCTGAAGATCGTCTCGTGGAAGCAGCACGTGAGCGAAGATGGAGATTGAATGATCTTGAAGAGAGGAAACATCACCGTAACCTCACCTCCAACCAGAAAACGCCCTGTGTGGTGAGGTGTTTGTTCCGCCCCTGTTCTAGCAGGCCACCAATGAACAACAAACCGACCAGTCGACACAAATAAATCGGGACAACAAAAGCTCTGACGGTCAGGCAAAGTGAAGAGTCGTGCAAAGCTCTGAGAAAAGACGGAGTCCCTGCTGCGCTGTTTCCTGCACTGAATCTTCAAGATGACTTGACGGCGTCGGCTGGATTATCACAGGATGGGGATTGTCACAGCTCTACCACCTTTTGTCCAAATTGCGAGTTCAAGACCGTACAAATACGCTTTGGCAGGAGACCACAGTTGTTGCTCAGTCGTCAAGTATCCATTTTCTGCTCTATAATGATCTATATATATATATATGCACGTTCTTCAGGAGCAATCTCAACATCCGCGTTTGTTCGGCAAGGGGGACCGTTGAGTATTGTCAGTCTTGTACCTGAAATACACCATGACAAACCTGACGAAGTCGAGCACTCAGCTTCTAGAGGACAAACCGCGTCCAACCTTCGAAGGAATTCTTCCTGCCATGTGAGACCTCCATCCACAACAACCCCGTCCTCAAGTCCATCAAGGCCTTCCTCAGACTCCGGGTGCTGTGCTCCTCCTGTCCGGCACTCAGCACGTGCCGGAGAGAGCACCGGGGGGGAGGGTCGTTCGCCGGCGCGACTAACCCGTGATGCCTGTGTTCCGCCTGGCAATTGGATTTGCCTTTAACCTAGCAACATGAGGCAACTATGTCAAGGCTTGAAGCGTAGAAGCAAAGACGCTACTAGGGGCTCCTGGCCATACTACTAGGAGCAGAAGCTACTAGGGGCTCCTGGCATCGCTACTAGGAGCAAGGACGCTACTAGGGGCTCCTGGGCTAAGATTGGAGAAAAACACTGCCAAGACTTCCCCAGATGCATCCCTTTGGAAAGATTCCCATATCTGCTCAATATGGGCAGTCACCTGCAGCTCCACTGCTGAATCCGTCAGCGAATCCGTCCTCCCCAGCAATCAACTTCTCGAAGTCATCCCTAGAGAGCTCTTCGCTAAGGCTCAGCACTAAGACTTCTCCTCGGCCGCGTGCAGTACGCGATGGAAATCGCTCGGCCCAGTTTCTTCGCGGTGGAAACCACATCGCTCGGCATTCTTCCAAGTTCCGATGGGTGAAAGGAGGACCATGGAGGGGTGCGAAATCGCAGCCATCGTGAGGACCATGGACAAGACAAATCAGACAATAAGGTCATTCGAGGCACTGCAGCACTGCTGCAAAATGAGACTGAAAAAAGACACGAAGACCGTTTTCATAGCAGGTTTGAGTCGAGTCAGCGGTGAGCTCGAATGACCGAGATGGTAGCTGCTGTGAGGTGCGAAGGACGTGCGCAGATGTCATGCAAAACAAAAAGTGAACGACGGAGACAAGGCAGCCATGCTATCGGATCTATAGGAGAGCAACAGATATCAACAAATGTATATACAAATGTGACTGTGAGATTTTGTCATTCAACCTCCCTCAAGGAGCTACTCTGGCTAAGAACACTTAGCTCGTGCGCTTGCGATATCAATTCAAAGGACGATCTATTGCTTGGGTATGTCCTATTACCAGGGCCTCAGTGGACGATGATGGTTCAGTGGACGAGGCCTTTCTTCTACAGTAGTGACAAGGCCTGTTTGCCGACTGTTAGAAGTAATGGGATAAACCCAAGCAATGTACCTCTCTTTGGCTATCATGATCATTTCTGGATAGGGATTGCGCGATCTACTTGAACATCGAAACTGAAACCCCCTAGCATTTGACACTTTCGCCAGCTGGTGGCGGCTTCACACAGGAAGCATGGACAAAAAACATCAAACAACCAACTCATGGTCTCAAACAAACGGCCTTGTTTAATGGACCTATACTGAATATAGGCCAGTTCAGCCAGCGCCGGTTCCATGCGCCCCTTCCATGCGGGAGGCGGCTCCCTCTCCCTCTCGATCACCTCGGCTCCCCTCTTCGCTGATTTTGAACTCAGGGTCCAGCCGCACGTCGGGCGTCCGGCCGCTGCACTTCCATGTAAAGCTCATCAACAAGTTCCTCCCGCGACATGGACTCCGTGGTCTTGATGGGCTTGGCAGCTAGGATCGCTCGCGGAAGTTCAGGGGCTGGCAAGTTGAAGAGAAGGATTCCTAGCGCCAAAGCCGCTGTTCAGATGGACCACATGCTGTACGACCCTAGTGGTCCTCAACCACAATCAGCGTCCTACTGGATGACAGTGGATCCCCCCTGCAAATACCAGTGGAACAAACACCTCCCTATGTCCTCCGAGGTAAAAAGAAATGATGATTCTCCATGAACTGTGCCTGCTGCTTTTTGCGCCCTTGGAAGTGATTTATATAAGTGGCTTAGAGACTGCCCCTGTGAGCTCGCTCGGGTGGCCGCCCTTCGGATCCAAGGCCGAGCCAAGCGTCGGAGCTCTTCGCTGCCTTAGAAGGAGTCTGACCCGAGTCTGCAGTGAGTCTGACTCTTCAGTTGGGGGACCATGTTTTGAATGTGACAAAATGGTCCACCTACCAGACCTACCAACGGCATCCAACGGCACAACGCCAAGTTGTGATCCGAGTTGCTGGTGCTTTCCTCATCACCGATGAAGTCCAGGAATTGAGATTTCGACACGCCTTTCCCCGTGTCAATGCGCGTCAAATCCGAGGAAAAAATGAGATGATGAGAAAACCATCGTCACTGAAGCCTTCTTCAATTGTGTCCGGCTAAAAGGAAATTTACAAACAATGATCAAATACCATGCACCATCCACATCCATCAACACTAACACAGCTCCCTAGCAATACACACCCGAATCTAATAGTCTAAGAAGCCTCCCGTCTCTGTGATCACAATATCTGCTTGATCCGACCTGCTCTTCATCCTTCCTCTTCCACACTCATTCCAACTATAAAACTCACTTTGCCTTTCACCTCCTGAACACCTCACACACCTCTGTTTCACAGTGATTCACCTCCTTTCTGCCTCCACCCCCCCGGGCGAACTCGCGTTTCGATGCCGGTCCTCGTTCTTCATTCCATCCTAACTCCTCGCAGATCCCGGCAAACTCCTTGGCCCAGTCCTCCTCATCCCCCAGGAAGCCCGTCGCATTGGCCTGAGAGGGAAACAAACGGAAACGGGAAATTCACGTGTAGCGGTATGTCTCTCATGTGAATCTGGCGTGTCAAAAAAAGGAACAAAGGCATTCTACATGTGAAAACGATTCACAACCTGTAGACTGCCCCTGTGGAGGCAATCTCAAATTCACTGATCGTTAGGCAAGGACGATTCTAACAGGATTGGGGCACATAAAGACATATAAAGACTGTGGCTTCCAAATGATAGATTCACGGATAGAGAGTTTATAGTTTTCGACAGATCACTTGTGAAGAACGGGCAAACCCGACTTTGCTGCGGAAACACCCCAAAAACCTTGCAGCCCAAAACCCTAAGTCCTAATCAGATTAACAAGTGCTCCCTCTTCTTCTGGTTTCCCCTCATCACCGAAATCCGGTCTGCCGGTTCTGCCATATAAGTGGTCAGGTCGATCGTCCATCGCTCGACGATCGGGGTTCTACAGCCCGGGGGAACCCGCCGGTCTTGCCCCGATGCGGAGGGCGGGGGAACCCGCCAGGGGGTCGGTTCTCCCCGTTGAGCTACACACCCAAATGGATCGCTCAGAGGGAGCAAGGATGTGTTTCCAAGGCCGTGCGGAAACCGCCTCGCCTCTTTTGAACCGTCCGCCACGAGGCCACGGACTTGAATGCCGTTGGCCCCCAGGAAGAATACATCCTATTCCGAGAGCAAGCGGGAAGACACAGAACAAATCAAAGCTGAACAGAAAACGAGCGTCAGTCACATGCGCGCATAAGAAGGCTGCGCCACATACATCAAGCTGATGGATATACAGACTTGCCGGTGCTCGAACTTCATCCCTGTCCACCGTAGTACTGCTGAAGTGCGTCCATGGTCTTCGTGTGGGCTGCTCGTGCAGTGTTCGTGACAAAAGCACCCAAGCAGCAAGGAGCCGAGAGTATCTCAACAGAGTCTGTGGCCACGCATCTGAAGTCGTTGAGCGGCACGAAAGCATAGACATGACGCAGCACTGTTCCATTGGAGTCGCTGTCAAATCTTACAGTGAGCTTGGCTGGGATATTTACCATCTTGGCGGGAACGACTATGGTAGGTCCGCAGCCGCAACAAAGGTCGAGCTTATCGGTCACCTCTATTTCTTTCACGGACATTCCATCCGGTAGAGTACTTTCTTTGACGATCGTGACCGCTAAGGCAGAGGTGCCCAGCGTCACCAAAAATGAGGGATTTGAGAAATCGCTGAAGGCTGTTTCAGCTGAGGTCTCAAGCTCTCTTCGGATCTCATATGTAGCAATTGGGTCGCCCATGGCTATAGTTGAGGTGTGTGTGTGTGTCTGGTTCCACGTTGGCTTCCATGGCTCTACAATGCTATACACATATCTCGTTTGTTTGCAGGAAATCCCAATACATCCTCGTACTATATATCAAGGTTGTCTGGCCAGCTGGGCCAAATGTGTGTAACATGTTAGACTTTTGACAATACTGCAAAACACAATGACAATAACAATTTGATTGTTCGCACTTGTCTAGCCTGTCTAATCTTGTGATTGTCATCCACATGGCGCTAGAGCAGCAGGAGTAGCAGCATGCAGAGAAGTGGTGAAAAGACTTCTGACCCACCAGGATACGAGACAAGCCACACCACTTGAGACGAGATGGCCAGACCGGCTTCGGCCGGACGTCCGTGGGTCCGCGATCGTTCCGGCGATCGGATGTTTGGGGGGGAATGATGTATTAGAGTTCGTGTAAACATACACCCTCCCCATTTGGATTGAAACACGATCTGTCTTTCTCTCCGTTCCCTAGGATTCAAGGGCCCATTGTTTGAATGGTCTGAATAGATCGGGTTCAAGAATAGATCGACACGTCCTATCATGTCCAGATCCTGTTGGACTGATTCGCACAGCTCGTTCGCTTGTTTGGATCGCTATGGATCACCAGCAATGCAAAGTCCCTTGGGTATTTTGGGTGTGTGATTTCTTAGGGAAACCCCCACCAATGGGTTGAGGTCTATTTTCCTTCTTCTCCCTCTTCTACGATTTGTGCTGAGTGGCAAAGATTCGCATCGCCTTGGAATCCAACTTTTGCCGCTGGCGCCGGTCGAGCGAATGGAAGACAGCCTGGGAACGAGACGTGGACGTGGACGGAGCCGGTGAGATGAAATCAGGTGAAAGCGGCGGTGGATGCGGACGTCTGGATGCTGATTCCAAGTGAATCCAAAGTCTGCAAAAGCTTCTGTCAGCCCTCAAAAAGCTTGTGACTGACGATTGAAGATTCTAAAGCTTGGCTGCCAATCCAAGGTTGCTACATCACGTCCATCAAAGGTGATATTCAATCATATTCAATCAGCACGTCCATGACGTATAGGCTATGGAAGCGTACAGTTGGAATGAACAAGTGTCTTAATCCTTTTGCGAGAAGCATCGGCCAGCTGTTTTCTGGACATCCTCTGAATCTCCTGCAACCGAACTCAGAACCATCAATTTGCCATTCACTGTCATCCCATGTCATCCCCATATACTTCATGTTCCCAGAGCTGTAAGACGTCAGATGCCGTCAGCACGGCCGCCATCCCCGTCCTCTCGCGTGTAGTCGCCTTTGGCGATCCTCGGGTCACGCGGATCTTCGTGGTGTCACGTCTGGGTCTCGTTGTTGATCGAGAAGTTCAGAACGCTTCGGCATTTGGCATTTGGCATAGTCTATACACTGGCCAGAAGAAAGTTGCGCTTCTTGATGTTGAAACTCATGACAACCCTATCCCCCTAGAATCCTACACCATGAGACAAGGGAAGGTGTGGGCGGTCATTTGTCACCCCGGAAAGCCTTTTATTATTATAAATTTAAAGCGGTGTGATAATTGACCGTCCCACACCTGCCACGAAAATTAGACTTGTTAATTCGATCCGCCGCTGACCTCAGAGTGTTTTGTAAGAAGGCTAACAAGCGTAAACTTTTGTCTGCCTGAAGTATCTCTATATAGTCTAAAAACCATAATGGCATTTGGCATCTTTCCACTCGCTCCTGGAAAAATCTGACAGCGATGTTTTTCTCCTTTTTTGCAGGACTTCAGCCTTCCTTCTCTTGAAGCTTGGAGCAAGCCAAACTACCTGTTTCTCAAAAGATTGCAGCAGGACCAGTGGCAAATCACACTTGTAGATCTATCGAGTACAGACTCCGTCTGGAAAAAGGCCACTGTAATCCCCCTTCAAATACCCATGGAGACGATGGATTTGCATTTTGTAGCAATGATTTGCGGGGGCCAGAGTTTGGCATTATACAATGCAAGAGCTCGAGGACATTCATTATAGAATGCAAGGACTGAAACAAAAATTGTCCTCGAAAGAGAAAGGACAAAGTGCACTACAAAATGGAGGGTCCAACCTCAAGCTTTCCAAAATGAGTAAACTATAAACCCTGGTTTTGCATTCTGTAGTGCACTCATTGGTGACTGCCAAAATTGACAACCAAAGGACGGGCACCGTCATTCTGTATAAGTATAGTGCTTTATATGTGTTGTATATATTTTCTACTCTCGGATACTCTCTCTCTCTCTCTCTGTTTGTCTACTTTCTTCTCTTGCCTCACTACAAACTGTCTGGCCTACCCCCTGGCGTGCTTCCAACATGTGACAAAATTTCCTTATGCAAAGTGCAGGTGGCCGAGACTCTATTTTTAATTCCCGGGAATGAAACATCACACTTCTACAAATTGCAAGGCCCCACTCCCTCCCAGGTACCCTCAAAATGAACTAGAATTCAGATTTATAATTACTGGCCACATGGCCATCCATTTTGTAGTGGATATTCTAAGGGGGATCCACTGTAGGAATGATGAGCTGGAACAAAAGCCTAATTAGATTTCTATGCCTCAACATTGCTTTGTCAGCTATGTCACAATGTCAGTGCTCCAGGGGAGCTACCGACTAGGTCAAGCATGCTGAGTTGGACCGAGGCTCGCCAAACCCGCGTAGCGTAGCATCCAGGCGACCCTGATCACAGTAGTCACTGCATCTCTCAGTGTCACAGCTAAGGTATGGCAAATCAACAAGGCGAGGTGAGCGCTCACCAATTCCTACCATCACACACTCCTCTCAAACAAACCTCAGAGGTGAAAACCCCTGTCGCAGAGTGAGGAACCTGTTCTGCTCATTTACGTACAACTTTGCAATCCAACCACCTGGCTCAAAATAGTTCTCCATAAGTTTCGGCAATGACTAAGTTCCAAAACATCAGATTTGCAAGCAAACATTGGAAAGAAAGCCAGCCTGAGACCCGATTAATTGGGGCGATTGTCCTCAGCCTCACTCAAATTAGCAGTCTTCGTTGGAGGGATTGCAACTAATGGGCAGGGCGAGAAAAGACACGGGGAAGATGTAAAGAACCTGTCAATGTGTCCTGTGCAAAAAACGTAGTCAAAGTGTGGTCTAAAACGTTGGCACCGAGGATGGTTTCGACTTGGCCGACCATGTTTCGGACCCTTCAGAGCTCTGACCTCTATGAGTTTCCCTGGTTGTTCGATTTCGACCCACTCGGCGCCTGCGTACCGCGCTGCGGAAGCGCCGGGCCGCCACGTCCTGCCGCAGCCGGAGCTCCAGCACCAGCTCCCTGCAGCTCCCGGGCGGCCGATCGGGCGGCGTCCGACCACCTGGCCAGAGGCCCAGATGAATTCATGTGAGCATGAGCAGAGTCAACTAGTCAACTAGCGAAGTGACGTATATTCAAGCGGTAGCTGAAAGTGTTATGGACCTGGACAAGGCATAGTTCATAGTTCTAACAGGGAACTTTGGAACTTCGGCTTCAGACCCTTCTGGGTGACTTGGGCACAGCCAAATCGGTGCCAAAACGGTTGGTTTGACGGTCGAGCCAGAAAAGTCCTGAATCTTGGCACAGGGCCACAAGATCGACGAACGAATCAGAATTTCAACGGAAACATCTCTCTCTCTCTCTCTATCCAAAGAATTGATCTATCTATCTATCCATCCATCCATCCATCCATCTAATCTAGGAAGAGAGAGAGAGAGACAACTACACACACATGGACCTTGGTTACATCTCTCTATTTACTATCTCGGTTTCGTTTAAAGAAAATGGATAAACATGTGATGTATTTTAAAAAACCCTATACATTTTGTATGACCACTTTCAGCCTTATCGTTTTTTGTTAACTCTTTATCGTTTTTTCAATATTTGGAACTCAATATACAGTCTCTTGTCGTTTCCCAGCTAACCACACATGTCCCTGCCTCCACTGGAAAAAAGTCGGTGTCTGTTATGTGTGCGCGCGCGTGCATATGTTCAATGAAAATTTGACTGTTCAAAATGTCCTTCAAGCAGACTCCAAACATCAAGGAAAGCCAGGAACTGAAGGAATTTGACCAGGAAACTCACTAAGAATTAAAAATAAGCTAGCTACTTTTTCTACACTTTTCTCCTCTCCCCGTGTCTCTGTGTCTATTCCCTTTTACGGGGGGAGAGCGGTGAGCACCCCTCGGGCCCCAACCTGTTCGCCGGTTCCCGGCTCGAACGGTACCTAGATGGAGTCTTATTGGTGGACGAACCTGAGAAGCTGCAAAACGAAAGCCAGCGCTTCCCTTTCTCGACAACTGCGCGTCGAAGCAATCAAATGAGCTCGCGCAGGCGCTTGCGGCCGCGTGTCAAATCTGCTTAATGTCTTGTTCTGCACGCACATAGGTAACCATGCAAAAGCAAAAAATGCACTTTTGCATCACCACCCGCTCCAAAATCACTAAAACATCACCTCCAAGAGTTTACGTATACCTTTCTCGGGCCACCCCCCCGACCCCCGACCGACTTCACACATAGACAATTTCAGCCACATTCAGATGAAGCAAAAGCCAAACAATGCACCAAAATTCGAGGTGGCCTGGGACCAGAGGCTCGCTGCCCGAAACTATATGTTCAGGCCACCTCAGAAATGAAGATATGCAAAGCAAGGGTCCTGAGGTGTCTCTGTGACAAGGCTTTTGTTAAAACAGACAGTTTTTCAAGCTAAATTCAAGGTGGCCTGAGACCAGGGTTTGCTGCCCTAAAACACTCTGTTCAGGCCACCTTAAAAATGAAGGTCTGCGAAGCGAGAGCAAAGGATGCACATTGCGGGTTCATATAGGGAGCCAGGCCATTTTCAGAATCTTCTGGATTTGAGCTGTTCGAGTTCCTATTGAAGGGTATAGCTGTGCGTCACCACCCGCTCCAAAAGCATCAAAGCATCACCCCCCAGAGTTTACGTATATCTTTCTCGAGCCACACATGCACAGCAAACCACAGCTTTGAAGTCTCATTCGTGCTTTGAACTTGTATAGTATAGGTGTGTAAGAGGTATAGCAACATAGCATTTATACGGACCCAGGGTAGCTACAATTCTGTTTCCAGGTATCGCGCGCATGAGGCTTCAAAGCTATGGTTTTCAAGCTAAATTCAGTGGCCTGAGACCAGGGTTTGCTGCCCTAAAACACTCTGTTCAGGCCACCTTGAAAATGAAGGTCTGCGAAGCGAGAGCAAAGGACTTTCCACCTCCTCGCTTCCCAGTCTTCCCAGGGTTCATATAGGGAGCCAGGCCATTTTCAGAATCTTCTGGATTTGAGCTGTTCGAGTTCCTATTGAAGGGTATATGTTCTCGTTGGCGAGTGCGTCACCACCCGCTCCAAAAGCATCAAAGCATCACCTTCCAGAGTTTACCTATATCTTTCTCAAGCCACACATGCACAGCAAACCACAGCTATGAAGTCTCATTCGTGCTTTGAACTGGTATAGGTGTGTAAGAGGTATAGCAACATAGCATTCATACGGACCCACGGTAGCTACAATGAGCGGTTGACGGAAAGGGAACTTGAAGTACTATACCTGGTAGCTGCACTATAGCTACCCTGGGTCTCTATACCTGGCAAGGTGCCAACTACACCTTTCCATTCAGATGATGCAAATGATGCAAATTGCATTTCTTGCATCACCACCCCTCAAAAATCACCTCCAACACAACCTCAAAAAACCTTCCCTCGACGCACCCTCCTCCCCCAGCATGTGCCAAGTTTACGTGTACCTTTTGTGGGCCACCCCCCCCCAGACCCCCTAACTACTCACTTCGTTCGCCAAACACAACTCCGCTGGCGCCTTCTACCAAGGCTGGCTTTCGTAACTGAGCCTGCTCCACCCCAAAAGCAGCCCTAAATCCGGGCCTTACCGGTAAGGCCCGGATTTCCACCTCCAGGGGCACCAGCAGAACAGGTTGGAATACCGACGGATGATCCGGCGGCCCTTGATGTTTGGAGTCTGTTTGAAGGAAATTTTGAAAAGTTTTGAATTTGTACATGTGGGACATGGTCTTCCCGAGGACTTTTTCGTGTATTCTTGTTATCGTTTTTGTTATCGTTTTGGAACCCCCAACGCTTTACCCATTTTGGTGGCCTAACGGACTCAAACACTTAATACAACATATTCTCAAGAATGATTCACATGGGTGCTGTTGACCTGTCGGCCTAACATCCACTGAATTAGAATCCATGCATGTACATGCAACTATACTTACCCATATGGATCAGCAAATGTCTACCCATGTCCCAGCGATGCTCAAGGAGCCAAAAAAGAAATCACTCCTGAATGCTTGTATTACACGAAAACCTTGACATGAAACACTCTTGTTAAAAAGAATGCACCTGAAATCAATAACTGGATTTGACAGCTATTTGCTTCAAGAACTGAAGGCATTTGAATTTCCAATGCTTCTATTCTCATGTACTGTACTGCATGTATTACATGAGTGTTATCGTTATTTTTTTAACTCTTTATCGTTTTACAATGAACCAGCCATGGTTTGCTAAAACGAGACCACTGCTTACAAGGTCCCGGGTGTTTTTAAAACATCATGTGTTTCATGGTTTTTTCAGGTCTCAACGACCCGCACGACGGACACGGCCGTGAGAGGCAGGCCTCAATTCCTCATCGGGTGAGTTGGCCTCATCCCCGAGGAAGGCCTTGGGGCGAGAACGATGGAGCCAGGAGCTACTAGTAGCTTCGTGCTGGTAGCGATGGCCTCCACCTGGTAGCGTCCTTGTTACAAGTGGGGATGAGGTTTCTAGTAGAATTCACTGGGGATCTCGAGTGGGCTTCATTGGTATTTCTGGATGAGAGTGGACTATATAGAGCCGAAAAATCCGTGGGGCCACGCATGTCCTTGATTACTCTTGATCTTGAAGCCGATCTACTTCTGAGTTCGGGTAGATGGCACCACCATGTACCCAAGTCTCCATACTTCCTTCCGTCCTTCAAGTCGCATGAGGATACCAGGGGAGATAACAGGAATGCTTCACCGGGGGGGTAGACGTAGTCAGAGAGTGTAGGAAACTGCCCTGCCATTGAGTTGGTGGTGTTTTCGACATTCAAACCAAAGGAAACTCCCTGCCCTTGAGTGACAAAGAGTCCCAGTCACCAAAAAGCCCGACAAAAGTTGGTCGTAGACTGAGGTACAAGCTGTTTGGCTCCATGGAACTGCAAGTCCTTTTCCTCAAAAAAAAAGATTGTGTCTTACATATTCCCCATGCTTGTGTCTTGCAGGAAGGTCCTCCCAAAACCCAATGTGAAGCGCCAAGCATCGATAAACTCTTCCTTCGTCACCCCAGCATCTGGATCCCAGTTGTAATCACGGCAGAGTTCTTCATATTGCTCATCCCAAAACTCATCACCTGACGTCTACCAGGGGGTCGAAGAAATTGTTAGTTCTCAGGCCGGTAGTGATTTAGGGGAACGAGATGGAACGGGGAAGAGTAGCAGGCAAGGGCCTGGGGTTCTTCATGTTTCTTCCAGCAGCAGTTCACTATCCAGAAACAATCACCTAGCTAGGCCAGCCTTTGAATGCCTTTGATATCTATGCAGTGACTGCAATGGTCTACACCATGGCCAGTGGTCAGAAGAATCATTAGAAGGATTCTACGAGGCTCGCCGCATCAGAACGATGCCATGTGACGAAACCTCCGACATCCTTAAAGTATCTTAAACTCTACTCTTCCCTTACTTTGAGTTGCTCTTCCCTTTCTGTGGAGGCATGTCTATTGTAAGGCGATCTCATCTCTACATTTAACTTGAGGGTGGCTCACAGAAGGCACCACGAAGGTAAACCGCTTTGCCCGCCCGGGATACACCTCCGTCATATCCGGTCAGCTCCGCATAGCGCCTCGCGGAGCAGGACGACGTTCGGGCAAAACTGCTGGTTGCATTGCAAGTCACCCACACAGAGTTTCAGTACAAACCAATGGATTGTACGTTGCAAGTCGTTCACGGCAATCACTCCTATGAACTATGAACTGAGAAAGATTGAGCATCTGCCTTCCCCTCAATCTGGACTCATCAAGTCCAATCAGGTGCTTGCAACATGTCTCAAAATGAGGCACATCTCCATAACTATAAGAAATCTGAAGAGTTGTATCTGAGCTGGAAGATGGACCTTGACTCGAAAAAACAAAGACCACTGCGCAGACCAACCTCGACCCAATCGTATGCCTTAGCCTTCCAGCCCTGCAAACCATGTTCACGATCCGTCTCGATTTCCCTGAGTTGTTCGATGGTCGAAGTGAAGCAAACCAGACCGCTCGTTGTTCGGCGGCGGACGTCCTCCGGATCTCTCCGGTTCCCTGGCGCTCCTGAACTCGCGGGATCCCAGCAGATCTTGTCGACGCACATCGAGAGAGGCAAAGGCTTCATTGACCAAATCGTCTCCTTAAACAGGGCTGAAGTCGTCTCGAAGGCACGTGACAGGGTTGCGAAGGCGGGTTGCTTGCGGCGGGTTGCTGAAGGGTTGCATCCAGTCGCCGCATGCTTGTTTCAGCATGTGACAACTCAAATGATCCGAGGGCTAGAGGGCACCCCCCTCACTTAACTGAATCCGCCGACCCCACACCGTGGGGTGAGGCGTGACTGTCGATGTTAGCCTTAGCCTTAAGCCTTAGCCTTAGCCTTAATCCTTAGCCTTAGCCTTAGCCTTAGACTCAAGCCTTAGCCTCAGCCTTAGCCTTAGACTTAGCCTTAGACCTAGACCTTAGCCTTAGACCTTACCTCCCCTACCCCTCCGGACCCTTGTTGCAGTGACGAAATCCCGACCCAAAAGCGACGTGATTGCGACCTGATTGCGACGTGATGGCGACCTGGATTGTCCAAGATTCTGCCATCCCAATTGATTTACATCTTGGGGCACCCTCTCCACCCGCGCGGGAAAATAAGCACGGTCCAAAATGGTCCTGGGCTCGAATCCCGGGCTGGTCGCGGCGCGGTCCCGGCCAGTGCCCTTGCTTTTTGGTAGATTTTGTCACGTTTTCCGTTGGATTTATGGGATTTTCAAAGGCTTTTCTAGCATTTTCCTAGGAATGCTCTAGGCTTTGTCTAGGTTTTGTTGTGTTTTCGGCTGTGCTTTTCCAAGAATTTTCTAGCGCTTCCTCTTGTTTTTAGGTTCCCAGATTTCCCCAAAAAATTGGTAACCTTTTGCTAACCTATGGAACTTTCAAAGGCTTTTCCAATATTTTCCTAGGAATGCTCTAGGCTTTGTCTAGATGTTGTTACGTTTTCGGTTGGATGCTTTTGCCAGAATTTTCTAGCGCTTCCTCTCGTCTTTAGGTTCCCAGATTTCCCCCCAAAATTGTTAACCTTTGGCTAACCTATTTTATGCCAGTGTTCCCGGTCAATGCCCTTGATTTTTCCTAGGAATACTCTTGGCTTTGTTTAGATTTTGTTACGTTTTCGACTGGATGCTAGGAATGCTCTAGGCTTTGTTTATTCGGCAGGATGCTTTTCCAAAAATTTTCTTGCATGTCCTCTTGTTTTTAGGTTCCCAGATTTGCCCCAAAAATTGTTAACCTTTTGCTAACCTATTTTATGCCAGTGTTCCCGGCCAATGCCCTTGATTTTTCCTGGGAATGCTCTTGGCTTTGTTTAGATGTTGTTACGTTTGCGATTGGATGCTAGGAATGCTCTAGGCTTTGGCTAACCAATTTTATTCCATTGTTGTACTCACGCCTACGCGCCGGTGGAACGTCCAGCTCCGGCAGCCGTCGGCTTCCGCCAGCCTGCCAAAACACTGCGCGCCGGCGTTTTCCGCCCACGACAACTACACCGAGCAGTTTCCGTGGCCTGCATAAGGGGACATACATGGGCAACGCCCTCGCTGGCTGACGCGACCTAGCGAACACCATGGGCAGCGCCATTCTCCCGCAGGAAACGCATAACACAGACACCGGCTGCCTCTCACCTGACGACTTGGGTGACGGGGGCTCTTCTCCGCTCCTGCATTTTGCTCAAGGGGTGCTCCAGGAAACCCTACCCTCCCCACATCCAGGGCAACGTCCTTCCTCCTACCGTGGAACCACCCGCTTCCACACCCTCTGCAGACATTCCGCCACGCGCGCGTGCCGCCCGCATGTACATGGCTACGGTCTCTTCCCTCGCTGGCGCGAGAACCTCGCCACCACCTGCCCGAGCTTCCCTTTGCGCTGCTCCGTCCTAGAACCAACACGCCACATGGCGCGGACACGGGCGCCTGACAGGCATGCGAAAATCTTACCAGAGCCTTTCACGTTACCACGGGCACTGGCCGGACCTCGTCCAGCGCAAAATCTAAACAAAGCCTAGAGCATTCCTAGGAAAATTCCAGGGCATTGGCCGGGAACACTAGAATCGAATAGGTTAACAATAGGTTAATCAATTTTTGGGCAAATCTGGGAACCTAAATGCAAGAGGAAGTGCTAGATAATTCTACAACAATGGAAGAAAATAGGGGAACTCCTACAACTTCCTTTTGCAACAAAACCCGGGTCCGGAGGGGTAGGGGCGGTCAGGTCTAAGTCTAAGTCTAAGGCTAAGGCTGAGGCTAAGTCTAAGGCTAAGGCTAGGCTAAGGTTAAGGCTAAGGCTAAGGCTTAAGGCTAAGGCTAACATCGGCAGTCACGCCTCACCCCACCTCTCTGCCTAGAGCAAGGCTAGCGCTAAGGTTCTATCCCTTGGGGGTCGGCGGCTGCAGGCGGTAGCCTGGTAAATATATAGATCTGAATAGTAATTAATAATTAATTGAGGATACCCCGGTACCCCTAAGTGTGTTCGGGAAATTCATCGAGGGGTAGTTCGGGACCTCGATTATTTGTCTACAGATTTGCTTGGTGGGGTCCCCTAACTGGCCGAGTATTCGCAAACCCGTTGATCAACCCGGCAAAACCTTAGATGCCTTAGATTACCCACCCCTGCTCTAAATGAATTTCCACCGACGGATTTGTAGGGTTGCTCCCCCCAATGCCTCCAATGTTTTAGCCCGAAGCTTCTTGCCAGTCTCTCCATCAGCTTCATAATGTGTCTTTATCAAGCCTTTGGAATTTAATGTCCATCGTTCTCGTTGCTTCAGCCTGCCCCATTCATGTTCCCGGACCATCCCAGACCCCAAGCTTGCCCTCTAAATGAATCCACCTCTTTTGCAGGGGCAACCGCCCCCTGAAAAAAATATTCCGCAACATCTGGCACTGGGAGCAGTTAGTTTCCATTCTCCGACTTAGGCTTCATGTTTCACACATTCTCGCAGAAGAAGACAACCATCAAATAACTAAATGCTGCCCGGCTGGATGGAAATATTGAAAAAGTGGTGGAAGTTGTTTGAAAGTCCGCATGATGGATCACACCAAGGCTGAAAAGGGGGACCCTCTTTTTTCGAATCATGTTGATCGCATGTCCAGCAAACGATCTCCACATAGAAATAAGCACAGCGGATGGGAAACTGCCTTTCTTCGCAAAACATCCAACGGTTGCAGCATATCCTAGATTCTGCTCCGTGTTTTTCCTTGCCACACCCACAGCGACCCACAGGCTAGCCTACGTGAGTGTAGACTATAGTAATTACCGGACTCACGTGTTTCCTATCAGGTCCTTGCATACAGCTGACCGGCAGCCTGCAGCTACTCATGTTCGTGTCTTGGAGTTGGTGTCAGTGGTTTTTTTTGGTCGGATGCTGACTGAGGCCAGTTCAACGATGGCCAAAAAAAGAATGACACAAGTTCAACGGGATTTCGCCCAAGACAATACGCAAAACAAACAATGCGTTTGTGATTTCTGCGAGGGAATCAAAGCTTCTCATGAGTGTAGTGTTTCGAAAGGAGGTCAATAGTTCCAACTATTTTCCTCCTTTTGCGGGTTCTTTTGCAAGAAAGGCACGTTCATTTGCCAACTCCAGGTTTACTTTGGATAAGTTCACCCGTACTAAGCCTTACAAAGCATACCATGCAGGAGTGCCCCTGCGGTGCGGACTGCTGGTGGCCATTCTCCGAGCTGCGAGGCATCTCTGCGACTTCACTTCTCACACGAGTGGATGCAGTCTTTCCAGCCCATTGGGACATTTGTGCAAAGGTCCTCCAGGGAAGCGTTTGGGCGGAAAGACGCGGTTTAAGCTCAATACATTCAATACGTTCAATGCGAGGAACGATGTTCGTGCACGAAGAGTGCTTTAGATCCGAAAATGGTCCGCCAAAGTCACTGGCTATGGCATCATCCAGGTGCTGAACTGCTGAGAACTGCAGTTCACTGCACTACGCCCAACATGGCGAGGACACGTCCTCTTCGGTGGCATGCGAAGCTCCAGGAGCATGGCCTTCAACTCTTGGTCCGAGCCCATGGATTCCTAATGGCTCACTACGGATGCGAAACGGATGGGTCTGGTCCACCAGAGGAATACGAATCCGATGAGGGAAAATGGCATCCTAACATAGCATGGCCTCATTACCCAGGGGGTTGGGCAAAATAGATGTACCAAGGACCCCGTGTGTCTATATGTGTGCAGGTGAATGGACCTCCCTTGCTTGGTGGATTGACCTGATTTCCCTCACCGCCATGGCATCAGCCGGGCATCATTCTCCATGAGCACCAAGAACTCGTGATGCCCCAGGCCTTCCTCCTGACCGCACAGAATCACTCCGGAGGTGAGAACAGTGTTGTCCCCAACTAAGTGGCCTTTGAGAGCAAGAATCATAGAGCAGACTTGATTCTGATTCTGAGCGGACAGAAAGGAAGACTCGAGAAGTCTCGGCCGCTGCGAGGTTTCGCCTCCGGCGCTCCAGAAAGGGTACAAACTGGAGATGTTAAAAATGCTGACACATCCAGGTTGCACCAAAAAATCGAGCAACATCAGAAACATACCTGGACACCATCCTGTCTGGGTGTTCTGGATGTCTGGGTGTTCTGGCTGGTCGGACTCCCCTACAATCATACACTCATCCTCAATCCAGGTTTTTCGGATGGCAGGGACCAATTCAGATGGAGACCATGCTGAAACTGAGAAACCTCTGGGTCCCATGTGCAGTCCTTGTCCCATCCTTGCTCTGCACACCTCGGTGGACGTGAGGCAGGACCGGGACGCGATTCCCCGAAGAGGTGTGGGGACGACGTGGGAGGTGGGGTATGGGCGGCATGGTCGACGTGTTTTTCAAAGGCCATGGAAAAGCTGCAAGCAGAAGCCAGATCAGAACAAGAGGCAATTCCTCGAATTCTTCTGCCCAGTCATCATCGTCGCCATCGAAACCAGACAGCTTTGCATAGCCTCGGTACTAGTGAGCAAAGGCAGAATGCAAGAGAACCTCTTAGAAAGAAGAGACTTCGACAAAGCATGACTAATTTTCTGAATATGGCTGATTTTCGTGTGAACTATAGAGCTGCCAGGGTGGCCTCCAACGTTTGTAGGAAAGTCATCTCGTTGATGAGCAGCCCCGGATGGTCAAAGTCCACCGACGACCGAGAGCTACTACGTCACCCGAGGCGACACGACGTCCGTTACCGTCACGTTCGACTGGTGTCGTGTCGTGTCGCATCGTCGCTGGATTTGTGGGATCCTTGTCTTGCCTTGTCTTGCCTTGTTTTTCCCGGTCTCCCCATGTCTCGGTCAGTGCCCATGCGAAGAACACGGGGGTTCCCCATCAGCTCCAAGAGACGATGAAGCTCCTGGCTGCCTATACGACCTTTGGAGCTGGTGAAGTGAAAGCAATGAAAAGCAGATGTGAGAGGGCATCACTGCGAAAGAAAAAGGAAAAGAAACATGCATACAAATGGGCGATTCTTTGCCTGGTGCTCTGCTGCAAGGTTAGAGTGCAGGGCCTGTTTATGATTGCCCTCTTCGCATGTGAAACACACTTGCCGTGCACACTCCATCAGCCTGAAGCGGTTTGCTACATTTAGGAAGAAGAGGAACCCCACCGAGACGAATATGCTGAGCCGGCTGAGCCAGTGTGTTCTTCGCTCTGTGCCAGTTAGCATGATTTCAATCACACAAGCCCGCCCGTGCCTGTGTCCTTGCATTTCAAGCTGATGAACAGCGCATCCACAATATCAGCCCTCCAGCCATGGCAAAACATGCTGCTTCGTTTGCGGTTCCAAAAACGTGAGCACACGGAAACGACACATCGACTTTGCCAAATAGCGACCCATGAGGGATGCCAAGCATGCAGAACATGCATGCTGAATCCAATCAAAGGGAAGCCGGCTCAGGGAGGCAACGCCTCCCAAAGTGCTTGGTCTTCTCACTTCTTGGAAAGCTCCCTTAGGGAAGCCCTCACACTCGCCTGGTCCTTAGCTTCACCAGGTTGGATGCCACGCTTTGTCGCGCCCACGAATCCTCAGCTGCGGTCGAGGCCGGTTCCACTATCCGGATTGAGGGCATTGAGAAGATCAGCCGGATCTGTTGCTGTGTAGTTTGTGTTGTACCACTTCAGTTCTGTGAGTTTATAATAGTGTGTATATGATATATATATATACACACACTACTAGTAACAAGTGCATCGCTACTAGTACTTCGGTTCTGTGAGTTTCTATGTCTTCAAGCAGTTTGTGATTGCGGAGTTACAGACTTACTTATTGTCACCTGCAAGATGCAAGTGTTCTGGGTCTTGAGGAACGAGTATCTTAAAGGCGTATACTGTACACTAAATGCAAGAGGGATTGCTTCTTCTCTTCTCTCCCTTCTCTCTCGTCCTCTTTCCTTCCCTTTCCTTCCCTTTCCTTCTCTTTCCTTATCTTTCCTTCCCTTTCCTTCTCTTTCCTTCCCTTTCCTTCTCTTTCCTT